AGGTGCCAGCCACTCAAGATGGGGTCAGTTTAGCTGTGAAATAATGTTTGTGACCTCCAAGTTGCTGGTGCTGCAGCCAGTCAGCATCAAATGCTCTGTGCCAAGTGAGGAAGAGGAATCCTGAGATTATTGCAGGGTTGTTATGTTGCCATAGATCCAAGGCAGCATCCAAGGCAGCACAAACAGCAGGAGACCCTGGGCAGGAGACAGCAGAGCTGTTCTGCTTGCACAGACACCTGCAGTACCCCATTAGGCAGCCTTGCTCCAGGCACTTCTGCCAGGGCAAGCCTTACTGTGAGCAGAACCCAAAAAGCAGGGAGAGATGCATCCCTCTGACTCCAGGCTGCAGCACTCTAGAGCCAGAGTGCAGGATGAGGGCTCTTAGCTCTCACAAGCCCCACCCTGCTGCAAGTGGTTTCAATTAAAAGGCAGAACTTCATTGATTCCTAATTAAGCTTATTGTTTCCCTTCCCACGCATTCCCCTGTAAACACATTCTGCTAATAATTAAGTTTACTATTCCTTGACAAGCACAGATGATCTTCCATTCACTCCTCTCTCCTAGGGTGGGAAACCATTTTCGGTGTGGTGCACATGGGTGGGAATGAAGTCTTCCTCCTGTCAGCCAGGCACTGTGGCTCTGCAGGGTGGGGGAGCCAGGTACCAGATAAAACAGGGATGCTCAGGGTGCCAATTAAATAGGGAGCTTGGGGCTTCAGAGGAAAAAAAGAAAAAGGGAGGAGTAGTTTGCAAACACTGAGCTGTGAAGAGGAGGAGGAGAGCAGCAATATGTGAGCAGGGAGGGATGTGCAGGGAGGTGAAGGGGGCAGAGGGATGGGCCCCTGGGGATGTGTTTGGCTGTCTGCCAAGTGGGATGCAACAAAAGCTGTGGCCAGTAGCTCAAAGCATTCTGACTGCAGAGCTGGAAAGGGGTGATAAGGTTGATGCAAGGCAGGAGGTTTCTAGGGAGCAGCAGTGTTTTCATGATGGGACAGTGCTGCCTGCAGGAGGGGGCTGAAGGGATAGTTTGGCCACAGTCTGTGTCTTCTTTCACAGGGAGAACAAGATGTGTCTGTGTCTAAGCTGCCATCTGTTCCCTGCAGAGCCATTTTGAATCACCTGGGAGATGTAGATGTTCAGGGGTGTGCCACCTGCCACAGGGGCAGGTTGGGGTTGCTTGGTGGTGCTCAATGCACTCAAGCCTACAGCAGTGCAGAGAGGGTGGGTACAGCATCCAGGCTGGAGCCCTGGCATGGGCTGTGTCCCACCTGTCTCAGGAGTGGTTTGCTGCCCAGGGCCATGCTGGCAGGGGCATCCTGGGAGACTATGGATGTTATGGGAAAGGTAATGCCTGTTGCTGTGTACTGTGCGGGACTCAGCTCTGTCCTGCCACGGGTGTGTGTCAAAGACACCAGGCTGGCGTAGCTGGGAGCTGGTGGGGATACAGACTGCATCTTATTTACCTCAGCTGCCCTTTGAGTGGAGCAGTGCCCACAGAAACCACCATTTCCTCCTCCTTGCTGCACTAGCTCTTCTCCCATCATCCCACAGCTGCCCACCTTCTCTTCATCTGGGTGGAGCTCAGGCAGGGGGTGGTTCAGGCAAAGCCCCAGAGATGCCCATCTCACCAAACTGCTCACTGTCTTGCTGTCTGGTGTTGCTCTTGCTGCTCTTGTCTGGTGGCCTGACCCCCTTCACCAGTTCCATCGATGGCTCCAGGGGAAAAGGAAAATCCCTGTTTCAATGAGTAGCCACTCACTGAGATCAGCTCAGCTGGTCATAGCATGGTGCTAATAACACCAAAATTGGTTCAATTCCCATATGGGCCATTCAGTTGAGAGTTGCACTAGATAATCCTTGTGGGTTAGTTTCGCTCAGAATATTCTTGTGATTCTAAGTCTTATGGAAAGGGGTCCAGCAGGTGCTGCCTTTTTGCTGGGGATTGGGACATTGGGGGAAAGAAATCTGGATTTTAGAGCTCCCTCCCCGTACAATGGGTCATTTCTGTCTTTACCTTTTGAAGGGCAGAGCCCTGTTCCTCACCTCAAATGCCCCAGCCAGCAGCCAGTCACTGACCCATTTTTCTCACCTCCCTGCAGGTAAAGTGTGACCAGTACTGGCCGAGCCGGGGCACAGAAACCTATGGGATGATCCAGGTGGTGCTGCTGGATACAGTGGAGCTGGCGACCTACACCGTCCGCACCTTTGCGCTGTACAAGGTATGGGACTGGCTGGGCTGCTGCTGTTCACGTCCTGCAGAGATGCTTCCCAGTGCTGCAGGGTGCTCCATGGCCCACAGGCAGGGGACACTGGCTGTACCTGGCTTGGCCAGGTGTGTGGCCAGTCCACAGATGAGCTGTGTCTCACAGATGGGCTGCAGTAGGAGGTCAGGTGCAGGTTGTGCATCTGGCTACCACTGGACTTTGGCCTGGATACTTGATGCTCTTCTGTGTGCTTTCTGCAATGGCCCCAGAGCAGGGCTGTTCTTGCCTCTGGTGAGTGTACAGGTAGCAGCTGTCCTCCCATTAGGGGGACAACATGGGAAGCAGTGAATTTTTATCACTCCTGTCACTAATAATGCAAATGGAGGAGCTGTTTCTGACATGAGCATAAACCCTTCTCTCCTGCCTGCTGCATTCCTCATTAGTGTTTGGAAATCCCTGGGGGCAGTGCCAGGAGCAGTGTCAATGCAGACAGGCTTTGCAGCAAGTGCTTCTGTGCGTGACTGAGTCTGGGCCAGGAGCCCAGTGCTCAGGGGGGACACTCGGGCCCCAGGAAGGCTCCAGCAACCACACAGACATTCCTACTGCTTGCTGCATGGATCACTCAGCCAAACCCAGAGAGGAGTAGGGCAGTCTGCAGACACAGGCTCATCACCCAGCCCAGGGACACCATGATGCAGAGGAGCAGGGAGGGAACTGGCTGCTGTAGCCCTTCCATGACCAGTGCCCATTTTCCCTGAACGTGCAGTGAGTATGCGGGTAGTGAACCTGTGCTGTGCAGAAAAGAGTCTTTCACCTTCCCTGCAGTCTGCTCCCCTCCTGCAGAGATGCTCTGTTGTCTGTAAAACTGCCTTTCTGCAGAGCATCTGTATGTATTGGAGATTTGCAATAAATGTTTTTCCTCCAAATTTTCACTGGTGAAAGCCCAGTACATGCATCATCACACAGGGCTTTGCGTGCCTGTTGTGTTGTTGCCCTGTCAGTGGGTTCCTGCACTGGTATGGGATGTTCTCATGGAAAACAACTCCTCTTTGTCTTCGACAGAATGGCTCCAATGAGAAGACAGAGCTGCGACAGTTCCAGTTCATGGCTTGGCCCGATCACGGGGTCCCAGAATACCCCACCCCAATCCTCGCTTTCCTGCGACGGGTCAAGGCCTGCAACCCAACAGATGCTGGGCCCATGGTTGTGCATTGCAGGTAGGACTGTGTGTTTGCCTTCTGGCTGCAGGAGCTTTAACCTGTCTGAAAGTGGAGTCTCCCCTTCTTGTGGGAAGGGTTTTGTGGTAGCATAACGTGCACTGCATGCTTGGGCTGGCAGCAGAACAGGCCCAGCAGTCGTAATGCAATGGTGGCATTTCTGTTGCTACTGCTGTATCAGATTAAACAGCACTGCTATGTGGAGAGCCTCAGAAAACACATTTTCCTGCAAAACTGCAAGTGCCATTTCAAAACTAAATTATCTGTGCCCAGCATAAGTGGGTGGTACCTTCAGATGCACATCACTGACAGAAATGCATGCAGTGACCTCTACGAACATTCATATGCAGTATTTACAGCTGCACTTTTTCACAGGGTAGAAAGGCAGCTCTTAAGGCAAAATATTAGTCTACTAAGGCTCAGCATCTTACCCAGCCAAGATTTATTTGTAGCAGCCAAGAGGGGACTGTTACTGAACAAACCACTCCATCATTGCTGTTTCAACATACGCCTTACCAGCAGTGTTTAATGCTCTTCTTTCATGCTCTGTTTCAGATGGTAGTGGGGTGTAATTAACACACAAACAAGCTGTATTAAAGCCCTGTTAAGGATATGACTTGCACCATAAATGAAGGAATGCCTAGCTCCCTATCTCTGTCTGTGTTTACATGTCAAAACAGTGTATCTGTTGTTTTCAGGGTGCTCTCGGAGTGAGTAGCTTGAGGTTTGCTGCTGCCCATCCAACAGCTGTGGAGAGGCATTTGGTGCTTTAGCAAAGGGCTCAGCACAGTCGTGCATAACCTCAGCTTTCTGCTTCCCCTCTCAGGCTGGCCGTGCTTGTTTTATGGGTGAGGAAACAGTGACCCAGGTTAGGGGACAAGCAGGCTGGAAATTACTGACTTCACTGGTATTAGGGCTCAGTCTGCTTTTCATGTCTTCTGACTTCACACACACATGTGTGTCACTCTCCTGCCTGTTAAACACATTTCTCCTTCCCTTGTGGAGGGGCTGCCAGCCATCACAGGGATCAGCAGGGTGACACCATGTCCTTTCCACTCCAGCAGTGAAAGGGGAACAGCAGAAAGGCTGAGAAACCTCTCACACTCTCCAGTGATTCTCTCCTTCGCTCCTCCTGTCACTTCTTGTTTGGAGCTTCGCTCCTCGAGAGCAGCCTTTACTCCCCTTGTGTGCCCCAAGTCCGGGTGATCTCTTAAGCACTCTTAGAGCTTGTGTGACATCTGTAGGAGGCTGTGTCATCTCAGACCGTGTGCTGTGCTCCTGCAGTGCTGGTGTGGGCCGAACCGGCTGCTTCATTGTCATCGACGCCATGCTGGAGCGGATGAAGCACGAGAAGACCGTGGACATCTACGGCCACGTGACGTGCATGCGCTCCCAGCGCAACTACATGGTGCAGACAGAGGACCAGTACATCTTCATCCACGAGGCCTTGCTGGAGGCCGCCACGTGCGGCAACACCGAGGTGCCCGCGCGCAACCTCTTCGCCCACATCCAGAAGCTGACCCAGGTGCCACCGGGCGAGAGCGTCACTGCAATGGAGCTGGAATTCAAGGTTGGTGGCAGAGCCCCAGCACCCCACTTCTCTAGCGCCCCGTCTCTGCCCGCAGAGCTCCTCAGGCTGCTCGTCCAGGGGCTGGGAGAGGTGGGCTGTGGATCACTACAGACAGTTATTCTTTTGTGTATTTCTAAAGCAGGTAGGCAGTGATTTAAAATACATTTGAATTGTAAAGCTTGCGTCGGCCATGGTCCCCCCTGGATTGGCAGCTTCTGGGGATGATATAAAAGGCAGATGGATGTGCAGTTCCCAGCAGCACATTCTGCTCTAGGTTCACTGTGCGGCAGGAGCTGCATCTGAAATCAGATGCATATCATGTTAGTGATAATTGATGTTACTGTGAACAACTTGTCTGGAAACAGCTCCAATTTAAATATGTGAGACATTTCTGGTCTCATTTCTTCAATGCTAAGCTCTGTAATCTTTTAACTACCTCAACACCAAGCCTCACTGTCTAAAATTGGTGAAGGCAGTGTTTTAAGGCACACCATTTTTAAGAAGCCAAGCCCACATTTTTCTGCCTGTATCTGTGTATGCCAACTGCAGATATTTATTACAGCCTTGGAGCTGAAATGAGCTCTGTTAAGTGCCCATATTCTCAGATGAGGTGCATTAGTCCAGTGAACTCTTGCAGGGGAATATAGCTCATGCAGGGAGGCAGCAGACCATGCTAGCTGTGAAATGAACTGCAGCAGTACACCTTCACCCTGGGGATTCCCTCCAAGTGACAAAGGAGCAGGAGAGGCAAAATATTGACTTTCCATGTAAACTGGGAATAGCTGAGAAGCTCTGTCCTGTGGTTATCAGAGCTGCTGGTATCCTGGGGCTGGGACAGTAAAACATGCTGCCTTAGTGTCTCATGGTAACACTGAGAAACTCCTCAGGAGAGCCACAGAATAGTGCTCAACTCAAGCAATTCTGTTGTAAGAAAGACAAAATTTGACTTTCATTTCTCCAAAGGTCTCTTGAGAACAGTAATGAAATTGCTCCTCTCTGTGCCCTGGCAGTGTCCACTACATGGGAAACCCTGGGGAGCAGAGTATGGGAGGGCTTCCCATGGCTGCACTGCTCCCCAGAAAGCAACCCTGTCCCCTGCAGAGAGCCTCTGTGGAGGTCAAGCTTCCACTCATAGAGAGAAAGGTGGTTCTGGAGGTGCTGGAGGCAGTCTTTTGGGAAAAAAAAAAAAAAAAAAAACTCGGGGTAGGAAGAATGCACTGAATCAGAAAGCAGGGTAAAAAAAAAAAAAAAAAAAGCTTGGGGTAGGAAGAATTACTTCTGTTTGAATCTGCCAGCAGATCTAAGTAACACATTTACCATGACTCCAGTTTACGGTACTCAAAGAGAGCCATAAAATGTCTCACAGTAACCCAAAATATATCTTCTTTACCTAAAACTGTCACAATTCTCACATTTTCTTGGGTTCTTCTGGGGTGAGAAGTAAATAACAAGACATTGTTGGAAGAGGAAAAGCTTTGGTTCCCTGCCACCACCAAGCATACATCCCTGGCTCAGAGAGGTACAAAGCTTCATGGCTCTGTGTGTGTCAGAGGGGTGCTGTGGGTCTCCACTCCACTGCATGACTGCTGCCAGGATCCCAATTCTGCCCCCAGACTGCTGCATCTCTAGCAGGGATCTGATGTGTCTCCTCCTCTTTCAGCTGCTGGCCAATTCTAAAGCACATACCTCACGTTTCATCAGTGCCAACCTCCCTTGCAACAAATTCAAGAACCGCCTCGTGAACATCATGCCGTATGAGCTGACGAGAGTCTGCCTGCAGCCCATCCGCGGCGTCGAGGGCTCTGACTACATCAATGCCAGCTTCATAGATGGCTACAGGTAAGGATTACCTTGGGTTCCTGTGCCAGCTTGTCCTGCCTGCTTGGAAACCCAGGCAGAGCTGCCTTCTCTTTCCCAAGGACTGGTCCTGACCACCTGAGGTGAGACAGGGACCACTTTGTTGCATTTTATCTATTTCCATCTTCTCAGGCACTGCAGTGTGTGTAGTTAAATATGTGAAGACTGCCTGTGAGTGAGCGCTGCCAGGCTGGCGTGTGTTGCTGTAGACAGATGCCCACATGGCTGGAGTGGCAGGCTGTGTTGGCTCCCAGGGAGGTTTTAGGGGATATTCTGGTAGGCATCCCTTGGCTTGTGTTTTATATCTACATACCTAACTCAAACCTGTCTCCCCACTGTAGCAGCTAGAGTTAGGAGTGTGCTTCCACTGAGTGGCTGATCCAGGCAGCAGCTCAAGACTTGTTCCATGTCTTGATTTTGGGAGGAGTCTGGATCCTCAGGCAGGACTGGTGCTGGACACTGTGAAGTCCATTGCCAGGTTAGTCTCTCCAGAGCACAGTTTAGGAAAGCACAGATTAAGATCTAGAGGGGCAGTAATGCTTAAGTTTTCTGTATCTGTCTGCTGACATCTCATTCTCAGATCCTAAATGCCAGGAGAGAAGAACAGCCCAGTGGCCACATCCCCTTCCCAACCAACCCCTAGACAATAATCCAAACTAAATCACAACGATGCACAGAAAAGGCCTGTTCCTGTCATCTCTCTGTGCATTATCACTGTAAGATCATCCCTCATGTGCACGTCATCAGTGCTGGAGTGCTGGAGTGCAGTGATAGATGTGGCACGTGTCCCTTCCAGCTTGATTTTGCCCACCTGCCTCTTTTGGACTGGTAACCTCCCAGAAGCAAAAGGCACTGCCAAAGGGAGCAAATGTAGGCCCAGCCAGGCCAGCAGCTCTGTGCCTTGTCACTGCTCCAGCAGCTGAGCCCAGCTAGAGTTCCCAGGGAGAAGGGCTATGTGGATGCAAGAGTGGACAAGCAGCAAAAAGGGAGCAACCCTGGGAGCACCCCAACACAGGAAAACCATAGCAAGCCAGGCTCCCTCAGTGGGGGACAGAGTAATGGGGAGGGATGAAGGGGCTGGAGAAAAGCTGTCACAGAGCAGAGGGAGCCTCCACTACCTCCTGGGTGTGTGGCACAGAGCCATCCACCACCACTCATTAAGGCAGCTGCCTGAGTCTGACAGATGGGCTGCAGCCACTGTCCTGGCTCCAGAGCTGACGGAGAGCAGCACTGCCTTTGCCTCTTGGTGATGCTATGGAGGGAGGGAGGGAGAGGGCTGCCATCACAGCAGGTGGTACCATTTCATGTGCTGCTTACCCTATCCCCAAGATCTGTTATCTCTTCCCATCCCTTCCTTTGAACCATCATTCTTCTAGTTATCTAAAGAAATCAGTTGGCCCAAGGTCCTGCAGATATCACTGATGCTGCATCTTTATTAGCTTTTTCACTTCATTCTGCATCCCCATTCCCTGTTTTTTACAATGTGTTATAAATCCACCTTGAAGCAGCCCCTGTCTGCATCCTGCATGTTACAGGTGCCCAGCAGCACGTTCGTTAATTTAACACCATTAAAAATAGCACCAGTGGAGGCATGAAGGCAGAACGGAGGGAGGAAGGCAGGATGGAAGAAGCCAGCCCTGGTCCCACGGGCTCCAGCGCCCCGCAGTGGTGGAGCCAGCCCGGGCTCTGCTGTGCCAGGCTGGTGAGCTCAGAGAGCCACGGTACCAGCATGCCAGAGCTGAGTCCAAAGCTCCAAGGGGGCTTTCTTCAGCCTGGGGGCTAGTCTGGGGCAGGTCACACAGAAAATTAGGAGAGGTGCTCAGGTTGGCAGTGGAACCAAAAACGAGCTCTGAAGCTTTAGAAAAGCAGGAAATTGTAGAAAACTGTATTCATTGTTTCCACACTGCCCTCATTATTGTCTGGAGTGTGTAATCCAGGTGATCTGGTTCAGCTGCTCTGTTTTCCCATGCAATGGGAGGGACAGTGGGTACTGCAGAGAGTAAAAGTGCAGGAACACAGGGGTGCTGCTGGGATCATCACCAAGCAGTCTCTCCTTCCAGCCCAGGTGGGTGCTGGCAGCCTGCTAGTGGGGGCCTGGGTGCCAAGAGGGCTCTCAGTGCAGCAGCAGCACTGGAGACAAGCAGCAGCAAGAGGCTGGGCGGGGGACACTGTCACCCCAGCAAGGACTAAGAGCTTTTCTGCAGCAGCACTGGAGACAAGCAGCAGCAAGAGGCTGGGCGGGGGACACCCCAGCAGGGACTAAGAGCTTTTCTTGATCCTCCAAGCTGTGCTCACTGTGTCTGTGGGGAGCACTTAGAGGACAAGTGCTGGACCAGCTGACCTCTCTCCCGGAGCCCATGGCTCATCCTGGAGACCTGCCTCCTACAGCTGGATTGTCAGACTTGCTCCCTGGTACCATGGGGCCCTGCCTCCAGCTCACCCAGCCCACCAGCCCCCAGAAGCAGCTGCTGCCCATCTCTGAGGGCTGCTCTGAGCACCATTATGTTTGTCACAGGCAGCAGAAGGCCTACATCGCCACGCAGGGACCACTGGCTGAGACCACAGAGGATTTCTGGCGGATGCTCTGGGAGCACGACTCCACCATTGTGGTGATGTTGACAAAGCTGCGTGAGATGGGCCGGGTACGAGTCCTGCTGTGGGGACAAGGGGGCTGTGGGGCTGCTGTCTGTGGGCACACTCTCTTGGCTCACCCCAGTCTGTGTTTGGCACCACTCGCTCTGAGTGAGCCCCCCACTGTCTGGTGGCTGACCCTGTGGCCCCACAACCACAGAGGCACCCAGGGAGTGGGGGGGAGGAGCAGCAGCTTGTCAGTGCTAATGTCTTACCCTGCTCCTCATCCACAGGAGAAGTGCCATCAGTACTGGCCTGCAGAGCGCTCTGCCCGGTACCAGTACTTCGTGGTGGACCCCATGGCAGAGTACAACATGCCACAGTACATCCTCCGGGAGTTCAAGGTGACAGATGCCAGGGTGAGTGCATCTGCTGGCTCCCAGCTCCTCTGTCTCTCGTGCCTCTGCCCTACCCAGGTCAGTTAAGGGAGTATGCAGCAGCTCCTGGAGAAATGGGAAAGCAAATGCTGCCTTGCACTGTAAACAAAAAGGGGAGAGCAGCACCTACTGCTCCTCTCTCCACAGGTTCTTGCCCTGCCAGCTGTGTTAGCCCCATGAACAGCTCAGGGATCCCTGTCAGCACCAGACCCTGCCTTGCCTGAGCAAGCATTGAACACAGGTCCTCCTGCACCTGGAGTCTGTGCAGCATCTGGCTGGGCACAGGACCCTTGTGTTACAGTAAACATGATGCTAGGGTGGAGCTGGGCCCCAAACACTGACCCGATGGACTCTGTAGGGCCCAAAGGCCTGCTCAGCTAAGGTACCCAGGGCTGAACATGGGAGACCAGATACAGGTCCCAATCATGCAGCAAATTATCTGCCTGGGCTCACCTGTGACCTGTGCACCTTCTCACCTGGCCTGGTTCAGGGGGTCTGAGAGCAGGTCAGACCACCAGCACTGAGGGGAGTGAGATCAGGCCCTCACCCATGGCTCACATCTAACACCTCTCTCCCTGCAGGACGGCCAGTCACGGACCATCCGCCAGTTCCAGTTCACAGACTGGCCTGAACAGGGAGTGCCAAAGACAGGAGAGGGTTTCATTGACTTCATTGGGCAGGTGCACAAGACCAAGGAGCAGTTTGGACAGGATGGGCCCATCACGGTGCACTGCAGGTAAGGACTGCAGCCTCACCCCAGTGCAGGTCCCTGTGCTCCAGGAGCGGCTTGCACCCCTCCTAGCAGCTCTGCAGAGCCTTTCTGGGGCTGGCAGGACTCACCGTGGCCCCTGTTGCTCCCTGTGCAGCGCTGGGGTTGGGCGCACCGGCGTGTTCATCACACTCAGCATCGTGCTGGAGAGGATGCGCTACGAGGGCGTGGTGGACATGTTCCAGATGGTGAAGACCTTGCGGACGCAGCGGCCGGCCATGGTGCAGACAGAGGTGAGTCCCCTCCTGTGCGTGGCGGTGCAGATCTGTGGGAGAAGGGAGGGCCCTGATGTCTCTGGATGTTGGGCCCTACAGCCCGCTGTCCTTGTGTCCCCACTGCTCACGTTTCCCTCGTTGCTGCCTTGCAGGACCAATACCAGCTGTGCTACAGAGCCGCACTGGAGTACCTTGGCAGCTTCGACCACTATGCAACGTAACAGTGCTTTCCTCCAGTCGCGGTGGGGATGTCTAGGAGTGGAGATGGGTCCCTCTGAGCCAGAGCCGCCCATTCCTCAGTCCTTCTGTACAGGTGGAGGTACTGCCCAGGCAGCAGACCTCCACGCCAACCAGTTTTGACCACGGCATTTAGGAACTTAGCCCCAGCGCCAAATGAGGGAATCCGACTCCAAAAGCATTTCCAGTCTCTGGCTGAATTTCTGCTCATGTGCATCTCTCACCCTCTCTCATGCCGACTGCATTTCACAGCAAGGCTTTAGGTGGGTGGAATGGGATCTTTTTTTTAAACATGTAAAATAGTTACTAGTGGTTTTTATAATCTTCTCTCTCTTTATTTTTTATTTTTTGCAAGTCTTAATGTTTTGCCCAAGCAGAACTGGACCCGCCAAACCTTTGGGAGTTGGGTTTTGTTTTTTTAATTTCCTTTTGCTTTTACTTTTTTTACTGCCCTGTGTTTATTTCAGCCCAGTCACTGCTGGTTCTGCCCATTTTAGTGCAGCTTCCTTGGTAATTCGCAGCAGCTGGCTTGTGGTTCCTGCCCATCTCCATTCCCCGTAGGCTTTTTAATCCTCTGTAGAATATGAAATTTCATGGAACTGGACCTAGCTACCAATTATTTTTTTAGTCTTCTTCCCCCCCCCCCCCCCCCCCCCCATTATTTCCTTAGTAGGTTTGGGTTTGGGAAGGCATATGGGGTCGCCAGAGAAGCGTCCCTTTGTCAGCTGGAAACTGTTCAGTCCTATTACATGTTCAACCAATCCAGTGACCGTGTGTATTGGCAGATCCTGACATGACGTGAGTTGTCGTTGCCTTGTTTGTGAGAGACCCGAAATCCCGGGCTCCAGGCATTGGAACCTCTTTTTGTGTGTCTTGCTGGAAAGGGGGCAGGAGTAGCGAGGGGGTCCCACAGCTCCCCAGGGAGGGCATGGAAAGAGCAAGACACGGCCCTTTGTGTTAATCCCACGGTTCTGTGCGTGCAAGCGCCATCCTGTCACCTCTCACCAGTGGAGCGCGTCAGAGCATTGACAAAGGCAAGGAGCACGAGCCCAGCTGATCCACAGCAGAGCTGGACCATCTCGCTTTGGAAGCAGGGTACTGCAGGGAAGGGGAGGGGAGTACACATGGCTTCAGAGGTTGGGTGTATCTATAATTTCTGCTATCCTGCAAATGTTAAGAGTCACTAGAATATTGTACTTTCCGCTACTTCAGGATGTTCTAATGAACCAATGTGGCAAGACTACTGGACTTAATTTAATGGTACTATATATTAATACTCCTTATTATATCACGCTTGCACTAAAGATGGGGAGTGAGCAGCCCTCTTTTGAGTGCATTGAGTTATGAATAAAGGTGGTGGAAGGGTATCTAATTGTATTATCACATGTATTCCGAATGTTAAGAATCCAAGCTACGTTGAAATCAGCAATCCAGGGTTGGTAATGTTGGAGGACACATTCATTTTTACCTTGTGGATGCATAGTGCTGTAGGGGTCACTGTTGTATACAGTCTGTTTTCTATTTGTTAATAAAAAAATCTACAGCATCATTGCATAATTCTTGATGTTAATAAATTTGAATAATTGGGTTTCATACAAGCTGGCTCTCCTGTCTGTTTCTTCTGCAATAAGCAGAGGCCATAGAACCCTTTGGCAGTGGGCACACTCCTCAGCCCTTGGCAGGTAAGTTCTTTCCCAGAGGTATGTCCCAGCCATGAGTGGGCCGCACTTTCTGCAGGGACCCTGTGCCTGCGGGGAGCTTGGAAACCTTCTGTGGCAATTCTCTTTGTGCATGTGTGTGCTCACCTCTGCCCACCTGCAGTTGTACAGGAGTTCACTGGCTGGCTGGACGTGCAGGAAAGAGAGGGGTGAGTGGTGTGGCTTTGCTGGCAATACCAATTGTTGTCACCTTCCTGGATTCACCTCTGCCCACCTGCAGTTGTACAGGAGTTCACTGGCTGGCTGGACGTGCAGGAAAGAGAGGGGTAAGTGGTGATGGCTTTGGTGGCAATACCAATTGTTGTCACCTTCCTAGACGCTGCAGTAACGCTGCCCTGTACAGCTGAGCACAGTTGCATATTCAGAGTTAGTGCTCAGCTGTGAAGCCATCACACGGCCCCTGACTGCAGAGCAGCACCTGTTTGGAAACCAGCCCAGGCTGGCAGCCCTGCCTGCTCTGTGTGCACTGCAAAGCACAAAGTGTCAGCTCCTGGAGAGATCAGCACCTGTACACAGCACAGTGTGAGGGGAAAGCCACTGCAAGGGGCAGGACCACATGGATCAGGGCCCTGTGGTATCTCCATCCCTCCCCAGGGAGCCAAATCTGCCCTGGCCAGCATGTCCACAATGGGTGGGAGTGCATGGCAGACTGATGAGCTTTTCCTAGTGTGGCTCTGGGCACCACAGTGATTCCTCAGTGGCTGCTGGAGCTCAGTCACACATAACATTCCCTGCCAGGCCAGACCGCTTCCTGGGTAGGTGCCAGATGCAGAAATGTTTTCCCCTTGCCTGGCTCATTGTTACTACACTGCTTCACTACAGAGTGGCCCGAGGGGCTGTTGGGCAGCCTCACTGCGGATGCAGATCCAAGGGCAAAGCAAGCTCCTGCCCTTGTGAGGCAGCACACGTGTGCAGGGGTGCATGGGCACGTGCCAGTGCTGCTGGCAGTGGGATGCTTGTCATCGCTGTGGGGGCCCAGGGTGGCAGAGTGGCACAAGTGAACCCCTGCTCACACGGGTGTGCCTGGGGAGGGAGGGCACCGCGCTCACTGTCGGCAGCAGCCAGCTGGGAGATGGGCACTGAGCACCTGCCTGTGCTGCAGCAGCAGTGCTCGGGCTCTGCTGCCAAACTACAGGAGCTGACAACGCTTCTGCCACTCACTGAGCACTCACCAGGCCCTGCCACATGAGCAGCACAAAGCTTTAGTCCATGTACAGCCTTGGATGCAGAGATTATCACCAAAAGTTGCCAGAACACTTACAGATACTCACACGAGCATGGACTTTGTTTCTCCTCATCCAGGAGCACTTTGGACTTCATTCCCCACCTGTGCGTTTGTCTGTGGACTGAGTAGAAGCACAAGGAGGCAGAGAAAGGGTGAAGAACTTCAGCATGGAATGCACAAAGAATAACATGAGTGAGCCCAGGCCTCAGAGACAAGGCTACTGCTGGTAGCCACATGGCCAAAGCCTCGTGCTGACCTCGCAGACCAGGAAAGGCTCAGTGCACAAACTGAGGACGTGAGGACATGCCACCTTGGCAAGGGGACAGGCTCCCTTGTCCACTCCTCTGGCCTGCTCACACAAAGCCAACACTTCTCCAAAGGAATGGACTCATATCATTTTAAAAACACTTATTCTTTCCACATTTATTTCCCATTATTTCTACACATCTCACAAAATAAAAGGGGAGCAAAACAAACATGGTGCATGGTGGATCAACAGCAATGCCAGCCTGATCTGCCCTCTGAGCCAGCACCACAGCTTGTGCCACACTGCAGGCAGAGCCACCCTGCTTCCTCCCAGGGCTTGGTACTGACGTTCCTGAGCTGCACTGCTCAGCCTTTCCAGATAGAAAGGATTTACAACAGAGCTGGCTTTTATTTTGGCCTCATTTTCTCTGGTATCAGCCTGAGACTTTTCAGACCCTCTGGTATCAGTACCACACTGTGCTCCAGATCTGAAAGGGATGGTCTGGAGATGGTGCTGTAAGACACTTCAGCTTCTTGTGTTTGGAGTCTCAAATAGACCAACCATATTTGCACTAAGCAATGGAGCTGGGCTATTACTTCTGCTTTTTTTTTTTTTCCCCAGTAAATATTTTCCATTCCTTAGTTATACCAGGTAGCCCCAGTGCAGCCTCAGATAAGCAGCTCTGTAAAGGCCACAGTTTGGCAGGTGGGACAGCAGCTAAATGGCAGACAGTCAAAGGTGATTTTCTGGGCACTGAGGTGCCCTTCTGCTCTATTTTCATATTTTTTATGCATATCATTGATGGTTGTAGCAGGAGCTGTGCAGGCACTGCCCAAGCTTGGCTTGCCTCCTAGTGATATTAACTCAGGATCATAGAGTGGTTTGGCTTAGAAAAGACCTTTAAAGATCAGCTACTCCAAATAACATCCTGACCAAGGATCCCTTTGAGATTCCATTGCTTTAAATTTTGTTCTTCAAAGGCAAAAATAGTTGTTAAATAAGGAAAAAGAAATAGCTGTAACACTGAAAAAAAATCTGAGCAGACTCTGCACAGTAGCTTGGCAACTCCTTCCCCCACAATCCTCGAATTTCTTGTCCTCAGCAACATTATTTTCATTTGTAACATTTCCTAGTTAAGAGTGACTTTTTTTCTTTCCTCTCTTTTTTTCCTGTTTGACCTGGTTCATTTCTGAGGGCAGGAATAATACTGATCCTTCCAATTAAAAGCTCATTGTTGCCCTTTTGCCAGTTATAATAAGCAATCTCAGTCCCCAGTAACAATTACAGGTTATCGAGCTTCCATGCCTACACGTTTCTGCTCACAGGAACATTTTGCCACTTGTCATCTTGAAAAGGCTGACTCGTGCTTCCTGAGGGCAGCAGGGCAAGGGAGGTGATTCTGCCCCTCTGCTTCGCTCTTTTGGGACCCCACCTGGAGCTCTGTGTCCAGCTCTGGGGTCCCAAACACAGGAATGACATGGACCTGCTGGAGCAGGTCCAGAGGAGGTCACAGAGATGCTCAGAGGGGGAGCACTTCTCCTGTGAGGACAGGCTGAGAGAGTTGGGGTTGCTCAGCCTGGAAAAGTGAAGGCTCTAGGGAGACCTTACACAATTTCCTGTGCCTAAAGAGAGAATTGGAGCAGGGCTTTCCACAAGGGCCTGTAGTGATAGGACACGGGGGAATGGCTTTGAACCCAAAAGAGGGCAGGATTAGATTAGATGTGAGGAAGAAACTCTTCCCTACAAGGGTGGTGAGGCACTGAAACAGACTGCCAGAGAACTTATGGATGCCTCATCCCTGGAAATGTTCCAGGCAGGGTTGGATGGGACTTTGAGCAACCTGGTCTAGTGGAAGGTGTCCCTGTCCAGTGCAGGGGTGTGGAACAAGATAATCTTCAAGGTCTCTTCCAACTCAAACCATTCTGTGATTCTATGATAATATAAAGTTGGTGTTTCTTAACTAAAGAATGACAAACGCAGCTGCCAAGCCACCAGAAAGGCCAGAAATGCAATTTGTCTCAAAACTGTTATCTGACAGTTGTCTGACTTTTTATAGGAGGCTGTGTGTCGTGCCTGCTGCTGCTGTAATCCACTTTGGGGGTTTGTCTGTATGCACCTGGCAATTCATGATCTGAGCAGGCCAGAGAGGCAGCAGATGGAAAACCTGTGTTGGAGTGGTTCTCAGGTCTTTTGGGGCTGCTGCCCGCCTGTAGCATGACAGCAAAGGAAACATGTATTAGGAGAAACAGTGAAATTAAGGTTTCATTTAGGCATGAGGGACCAAGCGCGGTCTCTTTTTCATGGGTTGTGCTTACATTCAAGGTTGCTCACTGGCACTTAGAGATGCATTTAGCACAGCAGAGTCTGAAAGTCGCAGAGTCTCAGCCAAGGAGAGCTGAGTGTCGCTGGACAGGCACCCGGCCCCGTGCACTCCCAAAGGCGTTTGCTGTCCGGCCCCTCGCTGGACAGGCACCCGGCCCCGTGCACACCCAAAGGCGTTTGCTTTGTGCTCCGTTTGTGCCGGCCCCCGACACAAACGGAGGAGGATTACCGGCGGCACGCGGCTGCGGCAGCGCCGCTCCAGGGCCCCGAGCCCGGAGTGTGCCGGCCGGGCCGGGCCGGGCCGGGCCGGGCCGGGCCGGGCCGGGCCGGGCCGGGCCGGGCCGGGCCCGCTGCTGCTGCTGCAGCCCCGGCCTGCGCCCGCTGCCCACGGCGCAGTGACCGCGGCTGCTCCGGCTGTGTTTACGCACGGAAACCGTCCGAGCACAATCCGCGGGGCTCGTGTGCTCGGCTGGCAGCCGCCTGTTGAGAGCCGCCGCTCCGCGCCCCAAACTCACCCGCTCGCTGCAGCCCCGCGTACCCGGGTTAGCGTCCACGCCGCGCTGAGCGCCCGCCGCACCGGGATCGGGTCACCCGGCGGCACTCCCCGGGGCCCGGAGGTGGGGAGCGGGCGGGATACAGAGGGGATGCGGTGGGGTGCGGTGGGGTGCCGTGGGGTGCCGTGGGGTGCCGTGGGACGCGGTGGGAGCGGGCCGTGTCCCGGCCGTGGCTGAGGCGGCCCCGGCGCGGCCCCCGCTCCAACGCCCCTTAGTAACAGCCTGGTCCCGCCTGCCTAGCAACCGCCCCGCGCCCGGCCTCCTGATTCGCCAGCCAGCCCCGGCCGGCCGTCGAATTCCTATTGGCTGCGAAGAGGGAAGCGGGCAGCGATTGGCTGCGGCGGCGGAGGGAAGAGGCGGGGCGGCCGGGCGGGGTTCGGGCGGAGCGGAACGGCCGCGGTGGCGTCGGCGGTCCGCAGGATTCTTTGGGCGCGTGGTGCGGAGGGATACGTCGGTCGGACGGTGGTACGAGGGCCGGGCGGGGGCGGCGGAGGAGCGGGACGCGCTGGCGACGTGGGCACGGCGGGCGGGACTCGGGCTCCGCCGCGCCGGCCGGGCCGGGCGGGCCGGGCGGGAGGAGGGGGTGAGTCGGTGGCGTTCTCCGCCGTGAGAGGGAGAGCGAGCCGTGGGGTCCTGACGGGCACGCGTCCTCCGCCAATGAGGAGGCAGGGCCGGTGCGGACCCCGCGGCGATTGGCCGGCGGGCGGGAGGGGCGGGGCGGGCGCGGTGTCCCGCCCCCCGCAAGGACACCCCCGCCTCCTCCGCGCAGGGCCGGCCCGGCATCATGGCCTCGGAGCTGGAGAGCCTCAACCCCGGGCAGCGCATCATGACCTTCCGCCCCACCATGGAGGAGTTCCGCGACTTCAGCCGCTACATCGCCTACGTGGAGTCGCAGGGCGCGCACCGCGCCGGCCTGGCCAAGGTGCGACACTCCCTCTCCCCCCGGGCGGAGGCCGCGCCGCCGGCCCCGGGCCGCGCACCGGCCGCCTCCGCCCTTTGTTTACGCCGCGGCGCCGGTGGGGCGGGCGCGCCCCGGCCGCGGCCCGGCCCGAGTTGCCCGAGTTTGACGCTGTCCCCGGCCGCGGCCGCCGCTCCCGGCCCGCGTGTCCCCGCAGATCGTGCCGCCGAAGGAGTGGAAGCCGCGGCAGTGCTACGATGACATCGACGAGCTCGTCATCCCCGCGCCCATCCAGCAGGTGGTGACGGGGCAGTCCGGGCTCTTCACGCAGTACAACATCCAGAAGAAGGCCATGACGGTCCGCGAGTTCCGCAGGATCGCCAACAGTGACAAGTACGGCCGGTCCCGGGCACTTTGAGTTGTGGAGTGGTTTGGGTTGGAAGGGCCATTAAATACCACCTGGTTCCCCACCTAGTCACGGGCAGGGACTCCTTCCTCAAGAACAGGCTGCTGAGGGCCCCATCCCAGCAGGCTTTGAACACTTGTAGGGATGGAGCATCCACAGCTTCCCACAGGGAACAGGTCCTCGGTGCAGTCTGGGGTCAGCAGTGTGAATGTTATGCCCCAGGCAGATGAGGTTGCTCATACAGCGGGCTGTGTGCATGGGGACCTTTGTCACCTGTGCAGCAAGGTGAGGTGTAATGGCTGCAGAACTTTTTCTTTGTGTTGTGGGCTCCTGTCTGTCTGTTTCCCACAGGGAACAGGTCCTCGGTGCAGTCTGGGGTCAGCAGTGTGAATGTTATGCCCCAGGCAGATGAGGTTGCTCATACAGCGGGCTGTGTGCATGGGGACCTTTGTCACCTGTGCAGCAAGGTGATGTGTAATGGCTGCAGAACTTTTTGTTTGTGCTGTGGGCCCAGTAGCTAGACCATTGAAATACTTACTAAGTAGTGGAGAAAGGAATGCTCATGACATAAAGAAGGAGATGAAGAAAAGACCACTTGAAAAGGAGTTGAAGCAAAAAAGCCTTTGCAGTAACTAGAAATAGCATTGTAATTGCCAGCTACAGTTGGTCCATCAAGGCTTGTTTTAGCTTTCAAAAGCAGTACAAACCAGATACTTTAGAGCTGTGTTTAATAGAATAATTTGATGAAAGTTACTGGAATCTGTATATATAGGTAAGTAGGTATAAAGACTAAATTTGATCCCCCCAGAGCTACGTGTAGTTCAGTACATAGTTAGCACGGAACGGGCATCAAGAGCAGATGTTTTGCTGGTAAACAGAGCATGTTTGACCATGGCGAGTCTGTGAAGGTTTGCTAGTTTCACAGTGGCAGAAAACTTCGGGTTTGTTTGGGGTTTTTTTTAGTTGTTCTTAGTATCATTTCTGTTTTTGACTGCATTGTTGCTTGTAAGTAGCTACAGCTAGAAGGTGAAATTGTTCTGACCCCGGAAAAGTGCACAAAGCAAAAATGAAAGTAAACTGAGAAAGGGGGAAAGTAACTTTCTTCCTGATACTGCCGTTCCAAAGTGTCACAGAAACAGAGACTGCTCTCACTGCTCATCTGGCTGGTAACACACATTAGGTATTTTTATTGTAGCTTTCCATTCTTTCAGTCAAGCAAACATTGGCTTAGACTTGCCAAATATCAGAATGCGAAGTCTTTAATGTCTTTCTTGTTTCTTTCAGGTACTGCACACCCCGGTACACGGACTTTGAAGACCTTGAACGAAAGTACTGGAAGAACCTTACATTCAATGCCCCCATCTACGGGGCTGATGTTAATGGCACGCTCTACGACAAGGTAAGGAAACTGTTCTGGTTTTCAGGTAACAGTTATCCTGGTGTATTGCATTCCATAAATACTAATGTGGCATTTGACTCTTACCTTTTGGAACAAGTTAATGATAGTCTTAGCATAGTTCAAGCTTCTGGAGTAGGCAGCTGACAGAGGAAGCATCTGCTAGCACTTCAGTATAGGGAAGCAAAAAGCACTATTGCCCAAGCATTGCTTTGTTCTGAAAGGCATATGAGGGTTGGAAGTGTTGATCAGAGGATACATGCTGCTTTGGTATCCACTGGTGTATGTATTTGTGTGGGACAGCTCTGTAGTCATTAGGTGGTAGGATGATAACTGTCAAAAGACAATTTGCATTCTGCTTGCTTGTCTCCTAAATTCTCATGATTTATTCTTTTAAAAGATGTTTGGAATGAAAAGTGGTTTTGTTAAAGAGGGTTCAGACATCAGCTCAAACTCAATCAACATCAGCTATTGTTCTCTGCTCTGTTAAGTCTGCAGCTTCGTGATTATTGCTTCTTTGTAATAATTACTTTGACTGGTATTTTTTTCCCCTCCTTAAAGGCCAGTAAGCAATCACTATGCAAGCCACCATGCAGAGCTTTGGGTTTAGGTGAACTAGCTCACAGCTTGAGCTGTGTAATTCTGTGATGTGCTGTTTCACAAGTGTCTGTTAAGCTTTTGCAAACTGTCCTCTCAGCTGTGTGATTCTGTACTTTGTAATCCTTGTTTGACACGAGGCTTGTGTTTTTCAGCATGTAGATGCGTGGAATATTGGCAGATTGAACACAATCCTGGATATTGTGGAGAATGAAAGTGGCATCACCATCGAAGGAGTGAATACTCCTTACCTGTATTTTGGCATGTGGAAAACTTCCTTTGCTTGGCACACCGAGGACATGGATCTCTACAGTATTAATTACTTGCATTTTGGGGAACCCAAGTCATGGTAAGATTTTCTAAGGAATCTTCTAGATGAAGAAAAGCAGTACCATAAAATATTGGAGTCAGTCACAAAGTGAAGAGTTGGCTAAAATAGTTATCAGTTCTCTAGTCTTGACTGCAGTTGTGTCTGATGACAGGAACTCGTAAGGAGCTGCAGAGCAATGCATGTCCTCAGTAGAATTTGGTTGGTAGCCTTCTAGAAGGGTCTAGTTGCTGTCCTGATGTAGGGAGTTCTGAATTACAGTATCGTCATGTGGATGCTGTCTGCTGTGGTAGGGCCAAAACTTGGCAAACTTGTGTATTGTTTTCTGAGGCTCTAAAATGACCATACAGAGGTGTGGTCACACAGGCAATGGGGGAACAGGCAGTTTTTAACAGACTTTGAACTGTAGCTGTTTATCATATATCTAAACATCAGGCTAGTGGATGTCACTGTGTGGTTTGTCCAGTGTCTGGGCTTTCTCAGTTCTTTTTAGGGGAGGCCCTTAATTTCTCTGTACCATGGGTTGCGTTTTAGGAGTGAATCATGCCCTTCTGTTCACAAATTAATTTCTCAAGCAACTTCAACAATTGTTTCTGTGGCACTTTAGTTGGAAACTAGAATTTTTGGCTGCCTTTTATTACAAATTTGAAGAAACAAATAATAGCTAGCACAGTGTGACCCATGAACAACCCTATGCAGTGGCAGTAGCAGAGAAACATGAAACAGAATCATTCAGTCTGTTGAACTATTTGGCCATTGCTTCTTCTACAGTAGTACTTGGAAGAAGTGAACTTTGCTGGTATCTTTGATTAATTTACCAAGGAATCTATTCAGAATATAGCACTGTATTCCAGAGTGAAAGCAAACTAAGTGGGTTGATTTATTTATTGTAGTCATTCCAGCCAGGAGTTTTGTGGCACCCATAAAAAGGTGTGTACAGGGAGAGACGTAGCTCTAAAGAGCACTCCATGAGTTGTGCACTTGTTAAGGATGTGGCACCTGACCTAGTCCCATCTTTGTCTGAGCAGCTGAAAGAGGTGATTCCATTTTCTCTCTTGCCCTGTGTTCCTCCTTGCACTGAGTATACTGAGATTACACTGCTGTGAACTGAGACAGCTCAGGAAGTTCTCTTCCTTTTCTCGTTGCAATTCATGTTTTGCTGCATTAGATCTGCTAATTATGTACATCAGTCTTTTTACTTCCTTGATTGCTTGAGCAAAAGTTGTTGAAAGAAATGTTCAGCTTTTACATGTCAATTTTTCTTGGAATAGAAAGGTTGAAGTACTCAATGATGATTTTTGGCTTATATTGAACTTTGAAAAAGACAAGTGTAGAGATAGAGATTTTTTTTTTTAAATTAATTCACATCTTGATGACTGATTATGATTTCCAGTCAGACTTTGAGATTTTGTTGTTGTCACTTGAACTTAACAGACTTGTTCTTACAACTGCAGGTACTCCATCCCTCCAGAGCATGGGAAGAGGCTGGAGAGACTTGCAAAAGGTAATCAGGCAGTTCATGTCCTGCCTTTTTCTAAAGGTGGGATGGACAGCTGCAGTGGGCTTCTGCTGTTTTAGAGAGCACAGGTTGGCATGACTGAACTGATAGTTTGCCTTTTAGAATATAGATTGCATTACTTCTGAATGTTTGCTTATAGGATACACACAAGAGAAATTGTCACATTACAAATAATGAACTTGTGGTTTGTTGTCACTTGAACTTAACAGACTTGTTCTTACAACTGCAGGTACTCCATCCCTCCAGAGCATGGGAAGAGGCTGGAGAGACTTGCAAAAGGTAATCAGGCCTTTTTCTAAAGGTGGGATGGACAGTTGCAGTGGGCTTCTGCTGTTTTAAAGAGCACAGGTTGGCATGACTGAACTGATAGTTTGCCTTTTAGAATATAGATTGCATTACTTCTGAATGTTTGCTTATAGGATACACACAAGAGAAATTGTCACATTACAAATAATGAACTTGTGGTTTGTCTGACCTTAAATGAGAAAATCCTTAGCTATAGATTATTAAAACTGGAAAATTATGACCAGAGGAGGATCCTTGTATTTGAGGCTTTTCTTATATTCTGTCAAACTGGCAGCTGTTAAAAGATAAATCTTAGGGATTTGTCATTTTTCTTCAGCATGCAAACTAGCACACTTCAAATAAGGTGGTCCATATTTCTAGGGAAAAAGTGTCTACACAGTAATTTTTCATAAAACTGCTGAAAAATAAATGTAGTTTGAGCACAGTGGTAACATCTCTCCTTGTCTTTATTTTAAACAGGTTTTTTCCCAGGAAGTGCCCAAAGCTGTGAAGCATTTCTCCGTCACAAGATGACTCTCATCTCCCCATCAATTCTGAAGAAATATGGAATTCCATTTGATAAGGTGTAGAAAAGTAATTGTGGTTATACCAGCTTGATCAAGAGGTTCCTGCAGCCTTGTCTTGCTTCTGACAGCAGCCAGTAGCAGATGCTTAGAGAGAAAAATAGAAACAGGCAGGCTATAGGGCAGTCCTTCCTATTGTACTTCCATTTGTCTGGCACTTAGGGTCTGAAGGAGTTTGAGACTTAAAAATCTATCAAGGGCTTCTAAAAAAACAACCTTGGTTTTCTGTGATTTTTTAAAATTTTTCTTAACTTAAAACTAAACATTATCTCCTGTGTTAGATTCACTTCACTGTTTAGATGGGTGTTCAGCTAAGTGAGGTTTTTCTTTTTTTGTTTCCACTTTTCCCCTGTTAATTTTTTTTGTTGCAATCTGCTTCCTCAGTGGAAAACAAGGCTTGTCCCTTATTAATTTCTTAATTACATAGTAACTTTCTAGGCTTCCTTACTTTCTCAGGTAATGACCTTCCATTCCCCCTCCCACCCAGGGATATTAAAGATGTGGTCTTTGAGCTCTTATTCAGAAACACTGTATCATCTGCCTGGGCAGCTGAAGGGTTTTGTTGTCATAAGCCTTTACAGGGGTAAATGTTCAAGAGCAAGCATTGGAAGGCTGACTTAGAGTTGTACTCTAATGTAAACAGCAATAAATTTTCAAGTTCTGTGTGGATAGAAATTTACTTGGCCTTAGATACTGTTCAGCCAAACCTGTAGCTGATCCAGATAAGTATCTTTATGAAGTTCATATAGCTGGTTACAGAGTATTTTGTATGTATAACTGTTTCTGTGCAAAATTGACCAGTTGTGTTTGTTTTAGTAAAAAAAGCTGTTGAGCATGGCTTTTCAGTGAGCAGATATTTAATACAAGTAGCAAAATAGCAAAGGTCAGTGACAGGTCTGTCCATTGCAGAAGGGAGCTCCAGCCACCATCTGTGAGTTGGATTTTTGGGTGTGCTGCAGAGAGGGATAAAAGAGCTCCTTTTAATCATATTCACCAAGTACCTTCTTCAACTCTGAATAACACTGTGATGTCTCAATTGTCTTCTAGGTGACACAGGAGGCTGGAGAGTTCATGATAACCTTTCCTTATAGCTATCATGCTGGCTTTAACCACGGCTTCAACTGTGCTGAATCTACCAACTTTGCTACTCTTCGCTGGATTGAGTACGGGAAGCAGTCGGTGCTGGTGAGTGCCCTGTTGCCATCATTAAGCCCCCGCTGTTTGTTTTAGGAGAGTGGTTTCACGCCTTTTAAGATGTGATATCTGCTTTAGCATAAAGTAGCAACATCCCGGCAAAGTCCTGCTTAGTGCCTTGTGTCAACCATGGATAGCATGTAACATGTTTTGTAACTTTGTATCTTTCTTGTAAGTTTGTGCGGCTCAGGAGAGCTTCAGAGAAAATTATGGAACTGGTTGTCTTTCCAGAGATGAAAACATATGCTTGGTGGGCAGAGCTTGTCAGTATTTTTCTCTTGTATTTTAACCATTATTTATTGACTGTTTAGCCTGGAATGCAGCTTTGGTAACTTAAATGACTTTTCAAAATAAGTATCTTGGCTGAACCTTTAAAGTGAATAGTGTTACATCCCTGCAGAGGTGCCTTTCAGACACTGTTTAAGTTTTCAGAAGCTGCATTGAAGTGAGTGCTTTGAAGCACTAGTTGTAACAATGCCTAGGGGAAGGGAACCTCTACTGCTCTGGGTAGGCCCAGACCTTGTGTGGCTCTGATTTCTTCATTATAGTCTCTGGTTTTGTGGTCTGTTTCTATATGAGCTCATTTTAAAACACTCAGCTTCTACCAGCAACTGTGTAAAAAGACTGATGAGCTTTCTGTCCTAGTTGTGATAACATCTGGTTTTTTGCTTCATGTTTTTTTTGCTGACTTTTCTGCCATTTTTAGTAATCTAATATGTACTCTTTTGATTTCCTGGAAAAGAGTCTTGATAGTTGTAAGGCTCAATTACATGTGAGTGTGGGATTTTGTTCCTTAAACTCTTGAAAGCAAAATCCTAGAGAAATGCAGAGTAGAATTTTTAAGTATTTGACCTTACCTTCTTATTTTCTGTGACTTCAGTGCTCATGTCGGAAGGACATGGTGAAGATCTCCATGGATGTGTTTGTGAGGAAGTACCAGCCAGATCGTTACAAGCTTTGGAAAGCTGGGAAAGACGTGACTGTCATTGACCATGCTCTTCCAACCCCAGAGGCAGCAGAGTTCCTCAAAGGGGATCTCATGCAAAAAGTCAAGAGTGGGAAACAGTGTGCTGAGGAGATGGAAACAGAAGAGACATGTAAAGAGGAGGTGGATGGGGATGAGACAAAAAGGTACAGCTTTATATAGTCACTGCTTTTCTGTTGGATTCTTGGAATTTGAACCCAGTTGCAATTAAATGTTTGCCATTCTGGTAGAACAGTGAGAGTTAGCAATAATCTTTTTTCCTGGGAACAGGGCTTACTTCTTAATATTTTTTTACTATTTAAGTCCACATTAATACATAGTCTGTGGTAAGCAGGAAACACGCCAGCTTGGAAGGTAGTTCTTCATCTTGGGACAGACCTCCAAAGCCTGGGTTGGCAGTGTGTACCCTGCAGTGACAGACCAGAAGAAAAAGGGGTTGTATTAAGATCATGGGACAGTACTTGCTAGCAAATTCTGGTACAATTCTGATGCTGCAAGCTGTGGCATTGGTGTGCAGTTCCTGGTTGCTGAAGGTCAACAGGTTAATCATCTTACATTTTGCAGTTAAATCTGTTTCAGTCAGTGCCAGCTACTGTTCCTAAACCTGTCTTTGGTGATGGATTTTTTTTGTTGTTTGGTTTGATTTGTTTAGGGTGTTGTTTGGAGGAGATTTTTTGTTTAAGGTAAAGAATGCCTGGCTAGAGAGAGCATAGTTGCCTTAATACACGACTAGCACACTGAGAAGTCATCTCTAGGGATTACTAACTTTTCCTCTGTAAAGGCAAAGAAAACATTTCAGAATAATTTGGAAACTATTTGGCTTTCCAGAGGCTGTCTTGTAAAACACCGGTCCAAACCAGACTGTATTTTATGCATTCACACAGAATTGTAACACAGTTACGTGTTTGCTAACCTGACACAGGGATTTGTCTTCTGCAGCATCCCCAAGCACCGCATAGGAACAAAAAGGCACAGGGTCTGCCTGGAAGTGCCTCAGGAGGTGAGTGAGAGTGAGGCCTTCCCCAAGGAGGAGCTGAGCTCCACACAGTATGAAGCAGACATGGCAGAGCCTCGTGAGAGGCCTACGAGTGAATTCGTGCAGCAAGGTGAACAAAGGATCAAACTTCCAGGTAAGTGTGTGCCAGGCTTGTCTGGGGCACTCTTCAATATGATGTTAGTTGGTAGGATGCTTTTGTGTCCAAAGAAGCGGACACTGGTTTGTCAGAGCCATTGGTAGCACCTCAGAAGTTTACTGTTATAAGACTTGAAATATTACCGTTTTCTTGGTTTTTTGTTTTTACTCTTTATTTTGCCTGACTGCATACAGAAATATATGGGATGCCTCCGTAGTCTAAGCTCCTTTTTATCTCTCTTGAGCAATGTGACCTGTTTATAGGAATTACGTAGTAAAACATATGCACACTTCCTGGTACTGTGGGTCTGGTATGCTTTATAGGTGTGTTACTTGTAATTTTGTAATAAGTAGGCTGGACAAAATTCATGTAGCTTGTAATGGATGAGTTATCCTTGCTCTTAGGGGAGGAGCAAGAGGCCTGTGGAACAGCACAAGAAAAGGAAAACATATGTGATGCCCCCTCTTGTATTTTGTTTTCCAGCCCTTTGCAGCTTGTATTTAATAATCTTCTATTGGTTTGTAGGTTTGTTTTTCTTTTTCTAGTAAGTCTTCAATGAATGTTTGTAATCTCTTACACACAGTAACATATGGCTGGGTTTACTACAAACACGTCTGTATAAAGGATCATCTCTGTTTATTTGAACTCACTGTCTGCTGCTTTGTTTTATATACCCTAGTTCTTGTGATGGGAGAGGCAATGAGCAAATGTTTTTATTCTCTCTGACTAAGCAATGTATGACTTTATAGGTGTTTGAATTAATCACCTGCTCTTTAGATGATGTGCTGTTGCTCTTTTGCGTGTAGTAGTTTGCTTTTCTGTTTGGCTTTGTGCAAATAGTTGCACAAATGTTCTCTTTCTGCCCAGACTTCTGAAAAGGTCAGTATATCCCTTCTTCCAGATCGTGTGGACTCAGCCAAATTTGAAGAATTGAAAGCGGTGAAGCTTGAGGAAGAAGAGCAAGAAGCAGCTGCACTGGATCTCTCCATTTCACATGCTTCAAATTCCACTTCAGTGTTGCCAGCTTCAAAGCAGAGTGCTACATCCAGTGCTCAGTCCAGCTCACCTTGCTATTCTTCAGACTCTGAATCGTCGGATCTGTTGGCAAAGCGAACTCTCCCTGGGCCAGCCGGGGTGTTCACGGTGCACAGCTACGCCAAGGGCGATGCCAGCGGCTCCGACAGTGAGCAGACCCCAGGGAAGAAAGCCAGTGCCAGCTCCAGTGTCAGTGAGCAAGAACTGACAGAGGTAGGAGAGGCAAAAGAACTGGAGGGCTGTAATTCCATGGTCAGGAATTTTCCTATCTCTGCAGGTGACAATTTCATCCCACTGGTGTTTGCATAGCAGGTTGCACCTCTGGGTTTTGCTAAACACAAGAATTCAGATGAAAGCCTTATATACTTAGCCCTTCAAGTAAGCAAGGAGATCACCTGTCTTGAGAACTTCTCTAAACTATTTAAGTGCTGTAATGGAAAGGATAGCTTGATGTTTTTGACATGGTAGTGTTACAGAATGATTGAGGTTCTTTTGTCCTAAGGGACACCTATTTGAACCTAAAATGAATCTGGTTTGTTCCAGCCTTTATTGCAAGCACATTCATGTGATGAGGGGTTTTTAATATAAAATTTCATACATGGATACATTTCTCTGTCCTTCTAAAAGAGGAGAAGGGGTACAACAAAATATTAGTTGGGAGAATGTAAATCTGAGTGTTAAAAAGCTGCCAATTAATATTTTATTAAACAACCTAAGAGAAGAGTTAGAATCTTATCTGGTAGTGTCATTCCAATATTTTGTTTTCCTGTTTAAATCTGTGTTTAGAGAATGGGAGGCCAGTAATGACTTCTGAGAAGTCAAGAATTACAGCAAAGGAACAGGAGATAGACCAATCTTGATAATTAAGCTGAAACTGAGAGAGTTGTCATGGCTATTTAAAGTCAAGATGTTACTTTGCAGATACTGATATCTCCATCACATAGTCTGTGCAGGGAAAAGGTGAAAATTTGAATGGGTGTGATTGTTTTCCCCAGGGTGGTATACTTGGAAACAAATTTTCCATTAGGTGGTAACTGTGAATGTTAATTTCAATATTTCTTAGAAATCTTTTATTCAACTCTGTAAGAGAACAGAGGCAGTGATTATTACGCTCTCTTCTGGCTTCATTTATGAAAAGAAGATATTTAAACATATGTAGGATGTATTTAATCCAAGACTTACCTTTTCTTTTAAAAGAATAACAGATTTTAAAAAACGGGTAGGTTCTTATCTAGAGGGAGACTTCCTGGACTGTTGAAATCATTACCATTACTGTCCTGCTTGTCAGGTTAGTAGTAATTTTGTCAGTGTGTCACTTGTTTTTGTATGGGGCTAAGGGAAGAGGAAATAGCTGTTGTTGCAATCTCCTTCTTCCAGTCTGTCTGGTAAGACATCAAGGCAATTAATCAGCAGGAAGGATTAAAGTGTCCTTCATTTAAAATAACTCTTTTAGTTTGACATGTCTATGAGCTCTGTATTTTTTCTAGTTTGTTATTTTACTTTCAAATTTGGAATTTTTTAAGTGACACACAAACTAAAGCTTCTCCAGAATTCATAAGACTTCTTATCATGGCTCTTTTAAGTTGAACCATCCAACTTGTCTTTCTTTGTTTCTGTCTTTTACATGATTCTTTAAAGAAACAGATGTGCATGAAAAGCTACACTGGGACCTGTGAAAAGTGTCCATTCTTCTAACTCAACAGAGCTAGTACAGCTCTGTCTTGTTTTACATAGCAAAAGTTCTCTTGAGCACTTTGAAAAATAGTTGAGAGCTGAAGTTACTTTGTTGGATATGAAATTGTGGAAGCATGTGTGCATTTTGAAGAAGTTTCTCTAAGTTCAAAGTAAATTCCTTCCAAAAAGGTGTCAAAAGGGCACGTGCTAACTGACAGCTGGATTGCTTTCCTGGTCCAGGTGGGAAAGGAGTACATAAGCTCCGTGAAGGAGAGTAAGAAGTCCAAGGGCCGTCGCCAGCCGTTGAGCAAACTGCCCCGTCATCACCCGCTCCTGGTGAAAGACTGCATCAGTGATGATGGTAAGTAAAGGTAAAGCCCTGTGCTCCTTGGGAAGTTGGAGAGAGGGTCTCAGTTTCTGTGGGCAGTATGGGATATTCTAGTAAATAACTGGTGATAAATGGGATTCAGTTAGTGGCAGCTCTGCCTCCTAGACAAGATGCATATCTCATTGTATCATTAAACTTTTCTCTCAAATGATGTCATCTTTCTTTCCTGTATTTTCTTTGGAAAGCAAAATTAAACCAGTACCAGAGACTGTTGCCCAACCATCTGCCTTAGAATATTCCAGTCATTGATGTAAATATTCCGGATTTTTTAAAAAATCCCTAATGCCAAATCCTTTGGTGGATGCCTTCAATTTTGATGTAGATGTAATTTGGAGCTGTTTCTGCCCTGTTGCTTGATTAGTAGAAGCCTCTTAGAAAGGAGACTGAGTTACTGGTTTCCATCACCCTTCTGTCAGTTTGCTTTCTGGCAGTCTTTCTTTCATCTCCATTCATAGCTTCTTGCCTTATTTAGTTTCATTTACAAGAAGAACGTCTATAAAAGGCCACATAGTCACTGAGTGAGTGCTCTCTTATCACAGAGGCATCAGAGCAGCTAACTCCTGAAGAAGAGGCTGAGGAGACAGAAGCATGGGCCAAGCCACTGAGCCAGCTGTGGCAGAATCGGCCACCAAACTTTGAGGCTGAAAAAGAATACAATCGCACCATGGCCCAGCAGCCCCCATACTGTGCTGTTTGTATGCTCTTCCAGGCGTATCAGGTATGAAACAAAGACTCTTCCTGCTATCACAGAGGTAACAGAGTAGGTGCTGCTGTGATACATAGTTTTAAATATGTGGGTTTGCACATTGCCAGTTAACAAAAGCTGTGTCATGTTGCAGTTGTTGCAGTCTTGGCCAGCAGCTGTCCAGGAGAGTACAAGTGGGTGAACATCCTCAGACTTGTGATGGGTCCCTGCGGGTTCCCAGGGGCTCACTCCAGTGTTCAGCAGAAGCTTTTGTGTTTTGTGGCTTTTGCTCAAACCACAGAATGGCGCTTAAATGTTGCTGGAGCTGACTATAAAATATCACTTCTCCTTTCCGGACTGACTCCTTCACTTCTAAAATGTTTTTAAGAAAACACTTTACATCCTCTCATAGTACATGGTCTTTGATGAGCAGGCAAGGAAGAAAACCTTTTTACTAAAAGAATTTAGGGTTGTGTTTGTAGATGGTATAGATTGAAAGCTGTCTGGTCTTGGAGTTGTATCCATGGGTGGGGTGCAGAAGTCCTTTGTCATGCTGAATAGATGTGCAGACAGAAGTCCCTCAATGAATTTTTTTATATACCTAAGATAAATAATTTTAAGGTAGCTTGAATAGTTGTCAGCATGTTTGACCTGCAACTTTGAGATACTTTGAGCCTTCCCATATGCTGAGTGTATTTGATTCATTTGTGATGACTGTATAGTTGTGGTGGCACTAGAAACATGTTCACCACAGTTTTGGAAATAAAGACCTCACATTTTTGTTGCAGATTTAGATTTCATATAGTTCCTAATTTTAATGAAAACCACAGACCATAGTTTCTGTTCAGTCTTGTTATTTCTGTCTGAGAGTAAGTTCTTAGGAATGGAAATTCTACTTTGGAGCTGTGTGGTACATGAGGATTTTACTAGTGCTGAAAGGTATAAAGTTAATGATTTGAGGACAGTTGAAGTTCTCTGAAGATCTTTTTTGTAAGTTGCTGTTGTGCAGAAAACTCTTAGCTGCAGGTTTTCAAGTGTCTGTCTACACCAGGCAGTGGAGCAGAAACTCTTCCAAGATTTGAGCTGTGGTTAGAGTCTTTGTTCCAACTTCAGAAAGTCTATAGCAACTCTGGAAACTCACTACAGTTACCCGTTCAAATAAAAAATTGGCACAGAATGCCAGACAAGTATGCACTTTCCTTTGGGAAGAAGAAGAGTATCTGCTGCTTGGGGGAAAAAAAGTTACTATTTTCTTAAATGTTGTTCTGGATTTCTCTCAGTCATTTTGTCTTTTGCTTGACATGCAACATAAGTTTAAATCAGTAAGTTTTACTGAATTAAACTAAACAAGATTTGTAGAAAAGATGTCCCTTTCCTTCCAACTGTGAGCATTACCTGGACTTTTTCTCTCTAGCTTTTGAGGCACTGTAGGAGGGACAGCACAGATTCGTTCTGCTACTGCAATTTCTGCTAAAAGTAATCTTTTAAAAGATGAGGAAAGCTACTTTTGTGGTAGCCTAAAAGGTACAAAAGGTGGCTTAAACATTTTTTCAAAGAGAAAAATTAATTTCTGTTTAGCTGTTTCAGAGGAGTAGCTTTAATGGAAATACACATCTGTAAACTTGGATTTGACATTGATTTAGAAGAATAAATTATGAAAGATTAGCCTGAAAGTCTCCTGAGCTTTATATGGGAAATTGCATTTTCAGTCTGTTTATTTTCCAGAAACAAATTGGTTTTAAAGCCCATTAGATTTGTTCAAAATTACATTGGGAAAAAGTAATGAGGATTGTAGGTGTCTGTTTGTGTGTTGGTAATCCTTCCATATTGAGGTAAGATAAGTGTACACTGATGGATAGCAGTGCTGTGATCCTCTGTATTATGGGAGGAATATGCAGAAGAGTTGTTGCCTGTAGAACATGAGGTGGGCTTGATGATTCTACCTCTTCTGTCAGAAAAAAAGCAGTTTGGCGTGTATATTGTTGCTCATTAGAGGGATGCAATTCAGACTTTCAGTGTAGTATTAAGAAGAGTAGAAATTAATGTCATTCTGAGAATTTTATAAATATAACTATAAATAGTAATAAATAGTTATAAACGTAATTCTATTTTCACCTAACCTACCAACTCTATGATCTTTCAGTACCTTCAGTTTTTCTTTAAACTGTATATGTGTATGAAATAATGTGTGAATAAAGATCATGTGAGACCATTTTACTTGTAAAATTTAAATTCCCTCCCCATCCCTCACAGGCGGAATGTGAGGGCAGCAGTCAAAACTCCGGAGTGACTCCAGCGGCTGCAGATGGGAAGATCCGAACTAAACCCCTGATTCCTGAAATGTGCTTTACTGCAACTGGCTGCAGCACTGACCTCAATCTCTCCACTCCCTACCTGGAGGAAGATGGAACCAGTGTACTCATCACCTGCAAGAACTGCCATGTCTGTGTTCATGCGAGTGAGTGCATCCAGATGTTACCCTAAGCCCTGGTGATCTCCTTACTGAGCCCGTACATCATAGCAGGCCTCTGCCAGTTGATCTCATGTACAAATAGATCGAGTTCAGCCCTTAGCAGATCAGTATATACTTGGGTGTTGGCCTGTGGGGTAGGCAGTTGGCTGCACAGGTGGCTTCAAACTCACAGCATCATCCAGGAGCTTGTTGATTTTGATTTCTGCTTTATTTCTGGGCCCAAGGGAAATAGGTTTGAGTTTAAATAAAGTCTTAAATGAGATGTGTCTGTTCTAGGTTGTTATGGTGTATCCCCTGACAAGGCCACTGAAGACTGGATGTGCTCCCGGTGTACAGAAAATGCATTAGAAGAGGTAAAGTTTTTCACAGATGGAGTCTGGTACATCTGGGAACTTGGTTGCAAAGTTAGTTCACATAGTGTTGTGGGTGTTGGTTTTTTAATTATCCTGTGAAAAGAACACAATTTAGAGATTGTTTTAGACACCAATCTCTTGTGTTTTGATACTTTTGAGCCATAATGTTATCCTTTTAACTAATGCAAAGCTGCTGAGCTCAGAGGGAAGATCTCCTGCAAGAATGTGGGAATAGCTTCATTTTCTGTCTGAGTTTGTGGTAGCTACAATTTCTAAGCCAGAAAATAACTTGTGTTAATAACTAGGCAGGTATGCACATATGAAGAAAGCAAGAATGGGATTCCCTCAAACAGCTGTATAGACTTTAGGTCAGTGGAATGGATCAGCCTTTTGATCATTATTTCCTCATGTTTGATCCTATTGCACATCCCAAAAGGATATAGGGTATTGCAGGTGTAAAAGGAACCCATAACAAACAAGTTGACCCTTCAGTGGTAGGTTCTGCTTGCTTTCAACAGACTTGGGAGTCTGCCCTAAGGGCAGCAACTTTTGAGAGCTGAGGAGCTGATCTGTACAAGGTAGTTAGCTCTCTTCTGACAGCAAAATAATTTTCTTCCTCTGAATGTACATTTTGAGGTGGAAGTTCTGCAGCAAGTGTTGTGCACTAGCTAATCCTTTTTCTTTACTCCAGGACTGCTGTTTGTGTTCCTTACGAGGAGGAGCGTTGCAGAGAGCCAATGATGACAAGTGAGTGTTCCAGATTTTTTTGATTTTAAGGAGAGGCTCGGTTCCTAAGTATATGAGGGTAAGCTGGTAAACTGCATTTGGTGTAACAGTGACCAACATACTTTGTGTGTTAATTGTGTTCTCATGCAGCAGTTCTTACCTCTTTAGTTAATGCCTGGTTCTCATTCTGTTGATAGCAGCTGTGAATTGCTTTGCATTTGATAGTGCAGAGTTGTAGTATGCAGAGGTATAACCTACCACATAAAAATAAGGTTCCAAATGAACTAACATCTCTCAGTACCTTCTCTACAGAGGATTTTGATTTTCTGTCTTATTTGTGGTTACAGTAATGGCAAAGGGCAACCACAGTTTTAGGTAGCACAACATTGAAATTCAAGGTACCTCTACAGCAAAACGTGCATACAACTGCCTGTCCTGTGTCCTTTGGGTGGATCATCTAAAGTTATTTGATGCAACATAGCAGTGGGGCAGACTTGTACCACCATGAAATAACTGCAACTTGGCCACCCAGCCTTTTATCATGCCGGAGTCACCGAGTTGTGTTCCTTTTAAGCCTGTCAGTAGTAGATTTTAAGTACGGCGAAATCTTGGGTTTGCCCTACATGTGACCTGTTAGTAGCAGTAGAAAGATTATACTGATTATCCTCAGAGGTTATTTATTGTGGCTTATATGGCAAACTTGAACAGAACTGTACTTACTTAAACTCCAAAGCATCCTCTGTTGGCCCAGTGCATATTAATTTCTTTTTTCCTCTCTTCTGTCCTGACAGATGGGTTCATGTGATGTGTGCTGTGGCTGTACTGGAGGCAAAATTTGTGAACATCGCAGAGCGGAGTCCTGTAGATGTTGGCAAAATCCCCCTGCAGCGTTTCAGACTGGTATGGATCACCTGTGCTGCATCAGTGGTGTCTCTAGTCCATTCAGAATCTGAGGGGTTTTGCTTATCCCATCAAACCCAAGTCATCCTGGTTTAGTCTCCAGACTGAATTGTATAATCTGCTCAATTCTGTGTATGAAAGATGGCAGTTATTCCTATTGCCATTTTTAAAAAATTTTGCTTGTTCTAGTATGTGTTTATTCACATGAAGAGCCAGCAAAAGGGTTTTCAATATGTGGCAGGTAACATGCTTGTTTTTCTCCTCTCTAGTATTCAGCTTGCTTAGTTGACTGCCTTCAAGCCCTGAGATGGTTCAGGATATGTGAGGCATTCCTAGAATGGATAAAGGTCTTCAGCAGGAAAACAACTGTACTTAACTCTTTTAACATCTCAGTGTTGAGGGGAAAATGACTCTGCTTTGCATATGCATTGCAGATAACATTCTTTTCCTACAACTGCCCTGCAGGCCCAATTGAGTAGTGACATAGTTTTAACTGTTACCACTGTGGTGATGTCCCATTATTCTAATCATGTTGCTTGTATTAATGTGACTCTTTAGTCAAGTGCTGATAGGTCCTATTGAGTTGGGTCATTACAAGTTGATCTAATCTATGTTGCTGGCATCCTTAGGTTGCATGCTTTGTGCATGTTGAGCTGGTAGATATTTAATTTACATTTTTCCTCTATTGCATTAATTTACTTTTTGTCATTTGTCTTGTCATAAACTAAAACTGGTAGCTGCCTGCTTCTGTTGAGTCAGAAAACAGCAGTGTTTTCAAAGAGGCTAAATGGCACAGCTATTATATGATAAGGTGTTAGCTAGCCCTTGGTGTGTGGTAAAACCTAGTACCAACCAATAATCTCTGGTTTCCTGTCCACAGAAATGCATCTTCTGCAAGAAAAGGAGAAAGAGAATTGCAGGTTGCTGTGTACAGTGTTCACATGGCCGATGTCCCACATCCTTTCATGTCAGCTGTGCCCAAGCAGCAGGAGTCATGATGCAGCCTGATGACTGGCCATTTGTTGTCTTCATTACCTGCTTCAGGCATAAGACTCCATCTCAGGCTGAGGTGTGTAGGTGTATTATTCCCAAGATTTGAACTGCAGTGTCTCGGAGGCACTGAGAAGTTTTTTGATTGTGTGATTATTTTAAAACTTCATTGAAGGCTTGTTTGTCTCACAGTACATAATGTAATCTAACAGTGTTTGTCTTGGATTCTGATCTGAATCTTGCTGCTACTCTGATCTTAGGTGCTTTATTGTACTTTGGTTTGCAGACCAGTAGGACTGGAAGCATCACATCCCTCCTGTGGCTGTTGTAATGAGAAACACTAGTGAGATTTATGCTGTGATTCTTAATATGCAGGATTTAGTGCTGGTACTCCAGCAGTCTGCATGAGTCATCACAGAATTTCACATTTAAGTAATTGATTCGTTTCTAAAGTTGCCATGCAGCCTTTTTAACCAAAACCACCAACAATCTATTAGAGAATGTTTTCTGTAAGGGCCTTCCATTGCTCTGAAGAATGAGAACCTAATTTACTAAGTAAACTAAGGACAGTAGCACATAACAGATTAAACTTTAGGTATTTAACATTACGGAGGCAGACTTTTCTAAAAATGTTGCTGATGATGGCTGAAGTAGAGTAGCTCACCTGAACTAAAATGTTTTGCTTTGTTGTCTGCTAGCACTGCAGTGGTCTTCAATACATTTGTTATTGAGTCATTGTTTAAGAAGTGATTTTTCTCTTTTCAGCGAGCAAAGGCTGCACTCCAGGATCTGTCCCCTGGACAGATAGTCATCAGTAAGCACAAGAATGGTCGCTTCTATCAATGTGAAGTGGTCAGCCTTGCAAAGGAGACTTTCTACGAGGTCAACTTTGATGATGGCTCCTTCAGCGATAACCTGTACCCAGAGGACATTGTGGTATGTTGTGCAGTGGGGTTGTGGTATAGGACACATGGTATGAGTCAGTTCTTGCTGCTGTAGAGCAGACACATCAGGGGATCTCGTGATTGTTCCCTGGGTCCTGTAGTGGCTGAGCTGTGCTGCAGGATGGCCTTAGGGCTGTTACCTGAGAGTGACTTAGCTGAGGCCATATAGGGACAAGTATAACAGGGAGGGCAGCTAATCTCTGGCTGCTTAGCAATGGTAGGTCTGAAGGAAAACTTGCTGATACTTGCATGCCATTGCCACTCAAATACTTTGAAGTTACCACTGTTGGGATTTAAATGCAGATGATGTAAATGGATGTCTCTCAGCCTAGTTCTCCATCTCCTACAATGGAGGATTGTTGGGATGGTGTGCTATGTGACCCCTTGGGGGTTTGCTGAATCTTCATATAAAGAAGCTGCTTACCTTCCTTGTGTTTCCCATCTTCCCTCTTCATTCTAGAGTCGAGATTGTCTTCAGTTAGGTCCCCCTGCTGAAGGGGAAGTCGTGCAGGTGAGATGGACAGATGGACAAGTTTATGGAGCGAAGTTTGTTGCATCACACGCAATCCAGATGTACCAGGTACAAAATTGCTGTCTAAAAACTCATCACTCAGAACAAGCCAATCATGTTAACAGGGTTGCTGTAGGGGTGTCATGCTTAAACACTCCAGGGTAAGTTACTCTCACTGTGTTAGCAATGACAGATGCTGGCAACAGTTGCTGGATGTGATTGCTTGCAGCTGTATGTACCTCTGGCTATCAACAGTTGCTGGATGTGATTGCTTGCAGCAATCACTGCTTGCAGCAGAGCTTGCAGCTCTGGCTACCTACTTGAAAGTGTCCACTTCTGAAAACTGCTGGTCTGCAATTCTTCATCAGATTCTTTCTGTAGTTTAAACTACTTAAGTTTATTTTGCTTTCCTGTAGTGAGAGTGCACCGTGCATTTCATGCTTCCAAAGGGATGAATATTCAGTTTACTGTATTAAAGTGAACAGCCAGAGACTGTTGTCAGGTGTTAAAAGAATATCCCAAAACTTGCTGGACTGTTACTGTCATGAGGTTTTTGAGGTTTTCATTCAAGTCTGTTGCAGTGTGCATAGCTGTGTATCTTACAAATTTCAAGTGGTAGAAGATTATTTCACTAAAGAGCTCTGTGGGGAGAAGGCAGCTTCTAGGGAGATGTAGCAGGGTTGTAACTTCAGACTTCTGACATAACTTCTGGTTCTCTTCTAGGTGGAATTTGAAGATGGGTCACAGCTGATGGTGAAAAGGGATGATGTATACACTCTTGAAGAGGAGCTTCCTAAGAGAGTGAAGTCAAGGCTGGTAGGTAAACAGGGTGCAAATTCTACTAAAGAGGTAGAATTTGTTTTAATTTGTGCTTGAACAGCAACCTGAGCATGTGGCAGCAGCAAAATACAATCTGGTGCTCTCCTTAATCATTGCAAAACTCCGTAGTTGATCAGGCTACAAAAAACAAAGTTCTGTCTCACTCCGGAGAGAATTTCTCCATCTGCAGGAGTGTGAGTTTGTATCACAGAGTCACAGATTGAGAGAGCATGCCTTTTCATACTTGTATTTGTAAATTCCATTGTCTACTTCCATTGCAAAAAATGGCCAAGTTCCTTCATTTGCCCTCTGTTCTGAGAAGCTCTTAGTAGGGTTGAATCAAAAGAGCTGGCTGTTTCTTGACACTGTAAAATAATTCAGGTGAGAAAGGACCTCTGCAAGTCTCCAGACACCTGTTCCAAACAGGGGTAATTTTCAGAAAGGGTTGCTCAGCGGTGTCTCCAATTAAGTTTTGATTATCAGTAAGGGTGGAGATCCCACACCCTGTTTTACCCCACTGCTTTACACTTCCCACTACAAAAATTGTAGTTACAAACAGCACACTGTTGTGTCTTGCTTTACAGCACAAACATGCACGCCCTGTTGCAGATCTGTTGGCAGACACACAGACTATTAGAGGCTTAAGAAAGAATGTATTATACCTGAATTCTGTGAGCAGGTGTTTAAACATGTCTGCTGCATAAAGCAGAAATTGTACTAGATTGTTTGAAAATTGGAACAGCTGACTCTGTTTATTACTCTGAGAAAGTGATTATGAATTGAAGTTCTCTGTTACATTTGAAATGTGAGGTTCTTTAGATCTCTGATTATAGTTCACTTAAACATATACCCAGACTTGTAATCCGTTTTCTTAAATATTTTTGGTTTTGTGTTCAGTCAGTTTTTGAAGAAAGCTGAATGCTCCCATGTGTCTTGGCTTGGTTCTTTCTTACATGCAGTAGGAGGATGTGGAGACAGGGATTTCATCTGTGCTCTAGTGACTAATTCTGTTTTTTTCTCTTAGTCAATCGCTTCAGATATGCGCTTCACAGAGATCTTCGAGGAGAAGGAGGTCAGTCAAGAGAGGAAGAGACAAAGAGTGATCAATTCACGCTACCGTGAAGATTATATTGAACCTGCCTTGTACCGGGCCATCATGGAGTAAACACTGCCTGTGGCAGAGGAAGAAGATGCCCACCTCCCCCAAGGATTTAAACGTTCCAGTACAACAGGCCATATTTGGATGCTTTGAATCCAGGGTTTCTTCTGGGGTTTTGTTCTTTTATATTTTAAGGAAGCTAAAAGGCTGATGCTCTGCAGTAGCTGTAAGGCAGCTGTTGTATAGTGAAAGAGATCCCATTTGCCGAAGCTGATGCCTGCAGACTGCTGGTCTGAAGTTGGGTCCTTACCAAATAAGCCAGCTTGGGGATGTTGCTTTCATTTTTTTGAACAGTCTTGCTTTTTATTTAGAGACAATTTTGACAGGTGGCAAACTCTTTGGGGAGTTGTTGCCAGGAATCCTGGCAGCTGCAGAATAGTATGGTCTATTGTTTTAACTGAATAATGTTCCTGAATTTAGGAGTCTCCCTGGTGACCACACCTGGGCTTGAGCAGGCAGTATTACTGGTGCTGGAAATGGAACCTCTTTTATATTTATATCCATTTTTTTTTGTTGCAAGCAGCTTCAGTCTCTTGTTTCTCAGCACCTCCTTTCTGAGGTTGAGCTGTAGGCTGTTCAGATCTGAACAGACTGGAGGTGCTTGTGTGAACAGGTGAAATGTGAAATTGAATCCTGTAGGACAAATTATTTAACCTTCCATTTAATATTTTTGTTCTGATAGTGCTTTTGACTTACTTAATCATGAGTTTAATTGTTAATAGTATGTGCCTCAGAACCAGTGAAATCTCTGGAGCCTTGTGAAGTGCAGCCTTCTAACAAGAATAGGTGTTCAGCTCCCAATAGACATTCAGCTCCCAAAGAGTTTGTTTTGAGTTTCTCTAAGGCAATATGACTAAAGGGACAGTCCTAACTCTCCCTTCTTGAAATTCAAGCATCACAGTGTTGGGGATGACAGGGCAGCGGAATCTGAAGCAGTGCTGCTCTGGGACAGCACTATCTGTTGTGTGTCCATGGGCTTTTGCTTGCAGCAACTAATACTGGGTCTGAGACAGATGAAGTATGCACTGAGCTGTGTGTTCTAACTGAAAGGCTGTGCAATGCTCTTCTGGAGCAGGAGTGCTGCCGTGTTGCTGTCTGGCAAAGGTTGCTGTAGCATTTTTATAGAGTGTTAGGACACATCTCAGTTGTGGTGGAGAGAATTTGCTACCCCAGCCATAGGAAGATGAGTTGAGCTGGGTAGTAGGTATACCTGGAAGATGTGCCAACTTGCTCCTAATAATTAAAGCATTAACACACCACAGTAGGAGCAGTGTAAATACATGTTCCTTTCCCATTCTGTAGGAAAGGAATTTTAGGCTGTGGAGCAGATTGGCCACCTTCTTTTTGCATGGAATGAGGTGGATTTTCCTACTGGAGAAAATCATGATTGTCTGTTCTCCAGAAACTGTTCAAGAGGAGAATTTTCTAATGAAACAGACCTAATGCATCCCTGCTTCTATAGGGACATGGCAATGTGTCTGCAAAGTCTGGATTTGTAACTTTTTTCCTTTTGTTACATAGGAACGCTACAAACCAAACCCTTCTGAAACCCCGGTGCATCAATTTGTGATTAGCAATAAAATGTAGTATTGAGTAGTGATACAACTCTTGATCAGAAAAGAAATAAACTGCAACTTTTATACAGAAAATCTTTAGCCCTACATTTTTATAGGGTCAGAAGGATAAGTAGCAAAGATTTGCACACTGTTTTGCATAGAGGTAATCTGTCCTAATTTTGTGGTGGAATACCTTATTCATCAGTATTGGAAGGTTTAAACAGATTCTGAAAGGAGATAATGAGAGGGGTTTTTTGTGTGGTTTTTGGTTTGTTTTGGTTTTGAGTTTTTTTCCTTTTACCATGTCCAAAACTCCTGGTCTCAGGGTATTAAATGGCTTTCTGATGAATGGGATAGTTGGCTTGATAAAACCAGGTTTGTTAAGACCTGAGTCTAGTAGCTGGATTAACCAGTAGTTAATCTGGTCCAGGCAATAGGAATGAAACTGCACTTTGACATCTGAGCTTTTATATAAGCCTCTGAAGTGATGTGCTGTGAGCAAATGTGGAGAAGAGCTGGCAGGGCCTTAACAAACTTGCCTCTGTTCTGTCAGAGTTAATTTGGTATTAACTTCTCATAGGATGAACACTACCTGTGTGTAACTGAAAATATACTCCTTGTCACAATCTGCCACTCTCCCTCCAGGGAAAAGGTACCTGCATTCAGTCTTTGTCCCCAAACTGCTGTAGAACTTAAATTCACCTTTTAGGTGCCAGATGCTATACTACCTGTGCTGCAAACACATAGTTCAACAGCTTCATCCTAAAATGATGACCTCGTAGGAAACAGCTGGATTTGTTTGGTGTGGTGTTCTTGGGGTTGGTTCTTGGGCTGGTCTGTGCAGGGCCAAGAGATGGATTTTATTGATTTTTGTGTGTCCTTTCCAACTCAATATATTCTGTTGTTCACCTGCAGCAGGTTTTGCCACTCAGCTCTGACAGTATTCAGTGACTTTCAGGAGCTGCTATGCATAGTATTTGTTCTGGAACAGGAGCTTTGTTATCTGTTGCTGGCATGTTTTCTGCAGGTGCCAGATTTGCTCTCGTTGACAGTTGCACAGTGGACTGCACTGTGTTGGAAACTGCTGCCATCCTGCACTCTGAGACAAAGGGCCTTCCCAATTTTCCTGTCAGTTCTTGTGCTGCATCATTCAAATAATACTGCTAACAGCTGCAGGGGCTAAACTGTGTTTTAGGCTTCTCTCCGAACTTAAGATCAGTGACCCTGATGTTTGAGGAGTCTTTATTATCTGACTTTGCAAATGCAATTTGGTTTATGGCTTGAAGTATAACACATAGCAGTAAAAGCTCTGTACAGAGCAGCTGTCTCAAAAGTACATAGGCTTTCCATTACCAAGAGTTTTATCATGTCTGATAATTTTGTTCAGTGGTTTTGGCTTTTTTAGAAGAGAGTTTATTATCCTTTTTACAGCATCATTCCAGTGAGGGTGAGGGGCTGCCAGATTATCAGCTAGTCAGGTGTTTCTTGAGCATGTTCAGTACAAAATCATACTCACTGTGGCTCTGGTGGCCCTTTGTTGGGTCCATTGCATGTGGTGCTGCAGTCACTAGACCTCTTCACTTTTCATGAAGCTTCCATCTGTGACTGGTTCAGGTTGGACCCATGAGGAGAATTTTTTGTATAAACAAATAGTGGCTTGCCCTTAATTCAGGATGAGCTTCACAAGTCAGTGATAACTTTTCATAAGATTTTAAAAGGTGACTGTATTCTTTGTAAAGTACCTGATTGCAGTAATATTTCTGCCTGTGGCTGAACTTCTAGGAGACCTCTTTTCTATCAGCAGACTTCTCAGATGACCAGAGGCAATACTGTCAGTAGTAGGACCCATTCTCCTTGCTTCTTCTCTCTCTTTATGGTGTTTTTAGCTGGGTTGAATTGATTCTGCACTGTTTGAGGAGCACAGTGACATATCCTAAGGCTTCCAGTGCATCTCTGTTCTTCCATTCTTTAACTGGGTTCCTGTTGTCTGACATATCTGCAGTTGTGCTTGTTTTCTAATGAAACATGGGGTGAAATCAAGACTGGTAGCCTGTATGTTGTTTTCAGTTTCCTCAAGAAATAAATCTAGTTTCAAAAAAGACAATCTCTAAACTAATTTAAGAACTAAAGCAATGGGACTTGGAAATACTCATCATACTTCTAATTTTTCGATTAGCATTGTTCTACTCTAATATTCATCTCCTTAATGCTTATCTAGTGAGTTCTCAGGTGTCTTTCAGAGACCTAAGTGGAGTTCTGTTATTTAAGGACTCAGTCCTGCTTGGCTGTTTAACTAGAATGGGGATGGAACCACAGAATCATCTCTCCTCATTGAAACACAGAGCTGAGACATCTGCAGCAAGAACTGAGTTGCCTTAGGATCCCTTTGTAGCTGAGTGTGCCAGAAGAGGACTCATCAGAAAATCTTACCTGGGCGCAGTCTCAGACAGCTCTTTTCTTTACTTTGGTGTTGACTCTTGAACTTCACAGTGCTGGTTAAGACCTGCTGAATTGGCAGTCAGAGAAAGGAGATTCTTCTACTTTAGCTCAGGGATTTTTGTTACTGATACACCAAGTGTATCAGTAACCTTGAGGAATTTGCTTATTGTAGTGTTATTTCAGCTCATATCTTTGAAACCTAATGTGCCAGGTATTCCTATAGCCAGCTTTTGTAGTTTAGAGAAAATGATAATGGCTCCTTTTCCCTGACAAATTTGTAGATACTACACAAAACCTGTCAGTGTGGGCATTTAGATTAGTGTAAAGTGTGTAGTATTCTCAACTGAACATGGACAACAATGTTGTTGTATTGATGAAAGTCAGAATAAGCCTTTTTCCTCTTTTCTCCTAATCAGTCTTAATTTTTCCACATTGCTGTTAGAGCTGTTGAACAGCTTTAGATTTCTCCCTTGGATGAATGAAGAGCACAACATTCCAGGTGGTGTTTGTTGCTTGGTTCCAGTAATGAGCATAGCTGAGGGTGTGTATCTGCAGTTTCCTTTGACCTCACCAGAATGGTCTCCAGAGGAATGGGAAACATTCACCTGATTGCCATCTTTTCAGGAAGCTGTGGCAGATCCATGCACAAGCACTGCCACAGCCTCCTTGCTGCAGCATGAGTAATGTGACAACGCCAGCATCAAAACAGTTCTGACAGCACCTAGCAAATGAGGGAAGTGTGTGGGAGGGTACTGGAAAAAGATTTAAATGGTATAGTATGCATGTTAATTTTGAAACAAAACTGAGTAAGGTAGGAGAGCCTCAGAAGAGCTGTCTTTGGCCTGGAATTTTGCATTTAGGAAACGTTCTCGCTGTTATGAATGGTTCTAGTGGCTGTGAACACCTTCAGTACATGATGCAGGAGAGAAATGAAACAGACCTGCTGCCTGTGCTCTTGTACCTCCCATGAGTTACTGCCTGGCAGTGTGGGCTCCTCATGCTGCCCAACACCCCAGGAACTGGGATGCTCTCACCGTTATCCACACTGCTGGCTGAAGGAAGAGCTGCCTCCTCACAGGCTGTAGGCAAGGTGGGTGGCTGGTTTTCATATCCAGGCTGAAGTCCTCCATATGGAGTTAGGAGCAAACCTGTCTTTACAGCCCAACAAGTATGCTATAGACCAAAGCAAACTACTTCAAGAAGTACAGTAACTCAATCCCACAGTCTTGCTGAATGTAGGGAGGCATGGCAGTGTGTTGTATCCATGGACCTCCAGAGACACTTCAGACATGGGGATCAGATGGTTGTGAATGAACTGATATTAGTTCATATGCTTGGACTCTTCATTTCCTCAAGTGCAACTTTTATCTAATTTCTGCAACTTTTGGGCTAATTTTCTTGCCTGTCCTTGCAGCAGGGGTTAACTCAAACTTCCTTCCTAATAGCTCCAAGCAATTAAAAAGAAATGGGTGCAGGATATGCATGCCTTTAGTGTGGGTGGTGGGTGCTGATGGGCTGCAGGTACAGAGGAGCAGTTAAGTTGCAGACAGTTCCATGGAAAACAGGAGTGATGTGATACAGGAGAGCAAGGAAACTGGTGATGGGGAGCGGCTACACCAAAGGGCCAAGCAGCCCATGTGGTTTGGAACGGTTTGCCTGTGGTGGATGGCTGCCCAGGCTACTTGGCTCTGCAGCAGGAACACAGCTTTGCTTGTCCAGGCGCAGCAGAGCCAGGGCAGGATGAAGAGAGCAGTTGTGTTGGCAGCCAGAGATGGGTCTGTCCTGAGTCCTCTCTGGCCTTCCCAGTTCCAGCTGGATAGATGTTTCCAAACACCATTTAACAGCTGGCGTCCACAGGGACTGGCAGAAGTGTAAATGCTCATATTCTGCCATTCTCTCTTTCATTTGCAGAGGTAGCACAGGGCATCCTCTTTGGACCCTCAGCAGTCCACACAGTGGGGCTGGAGCCAACCGTGCTCTTCCTCGTTGGTTGGAGGGTGACTCCTGTGGGAGCAGAGGTCTGCAGTGCTGTCACCAGGAGGGAGACCCCCAGCTTGGGCCCTCAGCACTGTGCAGAGTCTGGCAAGAGGAAAGGACAGAAAAAGAGATCTTGGCTCTTCTCCCTCCCCAGTCGAAGCGGGTGAGGGGCTGCCAAGGGCTTTGCAGCAGGGAGAAGAAAGACAGCGTTCATGGGAGCTGCGTGACTCCGAGCTGGTGGGCTGGGAGCCAGGCACGTCAGCACCTGATGGGCCAGCACAGGAGGAAGGGCTTCTTGCTCCTCACGCCTCACCTTCTCCAGAGGAGCCCTTTCAAGGGGTCCCAGCCCAGTGTAGTGAGGTCTCTCCTGCCCCACTGCCCTGCCTGTTCTGGGCTGAACTGTTGCCTGTGTGGGGCATTGCACTGGCACAGTGTGCTGGGGAGGTCTTTCCCCAGGAGCCTGCTTTGTTCACTCCTACCCTGGACCATGCTGGCTGAGACAGCTGCCCAGGATCCCTCCTGCCTGCCTGTGTCCTCCACTCTGTCGTCTTGTGTGGGTAGATTTGGGGGACCTGGATCAGTCCTTTGACCATCTGTGCAGACTCTGCAAAGAAGCAGCCTCCAGTTGTGCAGTGGCTGTATGGAGGCTGCACAGATTGTTCCCAGAGAGTGCAGGGCTAGGGCTGTGGGGGTGATCCTGGGAGCTGGACAGTCATCACCTCTCACAGTAGAGAGCCCTTGTTCAGGCAGGCTGGAGCCTGCCTAGAGAATCCTTCCTCCTGAAGCCACTGGACAGAAGAGCCCTTGTGCAGCCTTTTTGGAGAGGTGCCTGGTACCTGCTGATGCAGACTTTCTGCTTCCCAGTGAACAGATGCCTGGCTATGGCTGGGCCATATGGTGTTTTGGACTTGCTGCTCTCCCAGCACAACCTCTCCTCCGGCCCTACAAGCAGGTGAGATTGCTCAGGGCTCTGATCCCTGGCGACAGCTCCCTGCAGGCTGTAGGAGCTGCCAACAGTCTGGTGCAGGGAGAGGTGTGACAGGTCTGTGCGTGTGCCTCTGGGAAGTGCCACCCAGTCAGTGTGGCCTTAATGCTGTGTCACCGTTGCAGGAGAGGTTTGGTTGTGCAGGGGGCTTGCCCTGCTGGCCCAGGATCTGAGGAAATCACACCATGCGGTGAGGGTGAGTAAACAGCACTTCAGGTTTGTGGTCAAGGATGATTGTGACATCCTGAGGGCACCTCTGAGGCTGGGATGAAATCAGACTCTGCCTGCCAGCCAAGAGTCTGTATCAGAGCCAGAATCTCTGGTGCTGGCTTCCCGATCTTACCCTGTAAGCCATTCCTACAGGAGCTGCTACATCCTTCCTGACTTCTCCAGCAGTCTCTGCTGCTTTCCCCGCTCAGTCAGGTTTATTGGGTGAGCGATTGCCCGAGGCTCAGCGTCAGCAGCTGTGCTCACTGTCAGGCCATGTGGATTTGGGATGGGAAGGGAGGAGCTGGCAGCTTTGCCCTTTGGCAGCATGTTGCAGGGTACAAAGCCAGCCAGCCCTCTTGCCAAGCTGTAAATTTGCCCCTTGCTCTTGTGCTTGTCTGGCTTTTCCTGTGGGCTGAGGGTTCATCCCACTCATGCTGTGGCTGCTCTGCTAACTTGTCCTTCAGCTCCCTGTGCCCTTATGCTTGCACACACAGTGCTGTCAGCTCAGCTGCCTGGGTGCACTTCTGACTCATCATGTGCTGCCTGGGCAGCTCCCCATTTCATTACTGTTAGGAGTTCATGGCAGTGGGCTGTGAAACTCCGTTCCCCTCCACCCTGCTGAGTCCCATGCATCCAGGAGGGACAAAGATTTGTGGAGCTGTCTGCCCTGACCAGGAGATCCCTAGCAGTGTGCTGTGCCTGGCTGGGATGCTGTATGCCATGGTCTGTCCTTGGCACCTCTCTCCTGTGGAGATTTCTGCAGCACAGCACAGGATCTCAGGATCCTGTGCCAGCGCAGGGCAGAGGAGCTGGTGCTTCCCCAGGCATTCTGGCAGGGACCAGCCATTTTCATCTGCATAATGGAGACTATAGCACAGCCACCATCAACCCACTCTGGGATATTTTTATCCTGGCTGTGCTGATGAGGGAGAGATGACAGGCTCACTCCACATCCAGACCATGCAATGCCTCTCCCAGCTGCAGCCACCTGGCGCAATGGAGAAGTGTGGGCTGTTCCCCCAGGGAAGGCAGCACTCACTGTGTGCTGTGGCTCTGGGCTTGCTGGGAGCAGCCACTGGTGCTCGGGGGGATTGAGGTATTTCGGCAGCATCCTTCTCTCTGTGTCCCCTGCCTGTGGCTGCCTCTTCATGGCTGCTATCAGCCCACATCCTGCTAGCAAACAGAGCACCCAGAGGCCTTTCCCCCTGGCTGCTCTAACTCCCTGTTATGAAAAGCAGCTGCAAGAATGCACAGGTTGTCACAAATGCTGAATCTCCAAAACCGAGCATGTTTGTGTCCCTCAGCAGAGCACAAACCCTTGGCCACGCCCTGCATCACAGGGGTCAGGGCAGTGCAAACTAAGCCCTCAGCCCCTGCACACTCACACAGTTCCTATGGCCAATGCCATGCTGGGTGACTCCTCACCTTTCTTCCTTTTCCCTAGAGGGAGCAGATAAGCCTCAGCACCCAGGAGTGGGGAAGAAAGACACTGGGACATGGCAGGGCTACCTCAGCTAGCAGCTACCCTGCCAACCCAGTGTCCCAGGCCAGGCAGCTGTTCTCATGACCAACAGGGAAGCACCTCCACCAGCAGCACCAGCATTTCCTCCCACCACCTTCCCAGTGACTGGCAGCATTTGAGATGCCTGATGCTTTCCTTTCCTCCTCCTGCTCCTTGCCCTTGCTGCTTCCCATCTCCTTGATCCCCTTCCTGAGCATCATGCTTGCCCTAGTCTCAGACGTGTAAGAGGTGAGATGTTTCAAGAGCATCTCTCTGGGCTCATGGCTCTGCACCCTGGGAGATGTTGATGTCCCTTGGTGCATCACAGGGTTTTCAGAGGGGCAGTCACCCACAGAGGTGCAGCCTGTAGCTCTGCACACAGGACATGTCCTGGGAGTTGCTTACCAAAGGCAGCATTGCAGACCATTTCCTTTGGGCACCTGGGGAAGAGATCAGAGTGACACAAATGGGGAAGGTTTGTAAACCTGAAGTGGACACTGACTCAGGCACTTGTGCTGCTGTGCTTATGCTGTGGGTCATCAGCTCACTTGGGTGTATATGGGAGAGACAGGTATGAGTAACAGAGTTGCTGTGTTGTGTGTATGAAGGTTGCTGGTGCATTACTTGGATTCAGAGGCTCCAGTTCACCATGGAGCAATGGAGAGGAGGTTCAGGCTGAACAGGATGAAAAGAGGAGCCTATGGCTAGTGGCCCTATCACCATAGCAGGACAGCTGAAGGTACACAAGGGATTGCTGCACTGCAAGTAATTAAGTACTAAAGCTCCAGGCTGGAAATTATGCATTCCCTAGGTCAAGGGCTGGCAATGAGCACTGCTGCAAGGAGTGTAATGCTACAGAGCCAGCTCAGGCTGTTGTACCTGTTTTTAGAAAGACATGTGCATAAGCTGGAAGAGCAGGTGAACAAAACTGTCCTCAGGCAGAGCCCTCCACAACTTTTCCACTGCCTTCTCTGGCTTGCAGGAATCAGTGCTGGCCTCCTTTTTGCTGCTAGAGCTGTTTGGACAGAAGACCAGGAGGGATGCTTACAGTTCAGGGCAATACAGCAAGCACATCCATCCAGCATCTCTTCTTCATGCCTGAGCCACCGATGTCAAAACATTCAAGTTGAGACCTTAAACTTGTTGAGATCTAGTTGAGATCTAAACTTATTTTGCAAGCTGCTTCATGGTAAGGATGGCTGCCTCTGCAACCTTCAGTGACTGTGCCGTACTTGATTCCAGACTTCAGTTTTTCCCATCTTCAACTTCTCACCTTTGGCTTCTGCCCTTCCTTCTGCCCATACCAGTACTCTGCTCCTTCTGGCAGTGAGGAGACCCTCTCCTGGGGCAGTGAAGTACCTTGTACTCCTCACATCCTTATTTGTCACATTTCCAACCCTTAGCTCCTTTTTTGTGATAGTGTTGCTGCTCCTTGGGATTTCTGTGCCTGTTCTGAAGTTTGGATAGCTGGACCAGACATCAAGCTGGCTTTGCCAACAATTTGGAAATCCTCTCCATGCCCCTCTGACTCATGGCCCTCAGAGCCAAGGTACTGTGCTGCAGGCTCATGGCAACAGTCACATGTGGGGACAGCTCTTTTGCAGCTTTTTTCCTTAATTTTGCCTCCCACCCTTGCTTTCAGGGAGATTCTCTACCCTGTGGTACAGCCTGTCTTCTCCATTCCCAAGAAGCTTCCTTTGCAGCCCATCACTGGGCTGGGGGCTGTTATAATTTTCCCAGGCCATTCAGCTCATGCTGTGGCAGCAAGCAGCATTCAGTGTTTTATCAGCCCCAAATGTAAGCCTTCATCTTGTCATCCAGATTATGGATATTAAGACGTATTAAATGGCACTGGACCAGAGGTCACTGAGGGTCTAAGTAGGCTTCCTGTTGTTGATGTCTCCCCATTAAGCCTTGGCTCACTGACAGATCTCAGAATGTAGCTGTTAATATGTGTAGTTGTTAATCTACTTGAGTCTTATTAATTCTTTATAATACATACTTTTAATTAAAATCCTACAGCATTATTGAAAGCAGTGGAGAAGGCAAAGTGTTCTCTGCAAATGCTCCTACTCTCAGCACCCAGAACTTTCCTTTTGCCCAGGAAGGAGTTTCCCTGTGTAACAGCCTCAGGATGCCTTTAGCTATGCTTTCACTTACCCAGTGGCAGTCTGGGGCTCTCTGCCATTTCTCTGCCCATTGCCTTGACCCTTTAGATTATGTTGGCCTCCTACCAGCTGACCATTCATTAAAAATTAACACACGTGTTTGGGAGAGTCTCTGATTAAATCATCAAATTGTTTGCAAATTACTTGGGCCTGTAGCATGAGTGTGGCTGGTATGGGGAGCTGCAGCCTTTTCTTGTGCCACTGCTTTGCCGAATTCCCTCCTCTCTGCAACAGCACATGAGGTGGAGTCACTCCTGCCATTCCTGTTTGAGAGGAGGCAGTGGCTGGATGGTGCTTGCCTGCCTCACCTGACTCTTCCAGCTGTTTTTATGGTATGAAAGGGTATGGGGTAGTGCCTGTTTGGAGAGCTCAAGATGAACCCATTGAGGCTTATGGCCATCACAGTTCTAAGCATCTCAGAAATTCAAGGACAGCACTCCTGGCTTCAGAAAGGCAGCATGGCCACAGCTGGAACCGGGCTCATTCAAGATTCCTGCAGCACTGGCATGAAGAAATGCATTGTGACATCCAGTGATGGCACCTGGGCTGAGCAAGACTCCCTATTTCACTCCCAGATCTCAGGTAGGCTTCACTGGGGAGGCTGCTGGGGGGAAGGTTATTTTAGCTGGTTTCTTAAGGAGTAGAATTAAAGAGGGAACCTTCACCTAGCCAATTGTTTTTAAGAGGCTGTGGTCATGGTGTGCAGCCTGGTAACTAGTCAGTGCACAGATTCTACAGTGACCATTGTCACTCTGGACAAAATGGGTAAAATATTAACAGGCATTGCAAAATATTTCCTAGACAGTCAAACCAGCCTGCATGCCAGGAGGCACTGCTTGGTTCTGTGCTCTCCTCTCTTTCACGGTGCAGTAACCTACTAGGGGCAGGACATTTGCTCCTGGACAGCTCACCAGGGCTTAGCAAATCTTCCTAAGGCCTGCCAAGCTCAGCTCCCTAAGCCTCCCCAAATGTGGCAACTATGACATCCATGATTCTAGGACAAGAGAGCAAGTGAGGGAGGTGTGTGGGAGTGGAGGTGTCTCCAACCAGCAAACTCCATTCATCAGTTCCTGGATGTGCAGCTGAGATACAGGTGGTTCTAGCCTGCCAGCAGGGGGTCTGGAAAAGATTCAAGAGGATCCTGCCTGAATCCTTATCCTGATGCTGTGGTAGAAAGGACTAATGCAGCCCTTTAAGACAGAAAGTAGGAAAAGCAGATTAAATCCCTGTGTCAAAGCATTAGGGAGGCTCAATGTGGGATTCTGTATCTTGAAAAGGATTCAGGAAAATCAGAGAGGCTCTATAGAGCAGAAACACAAAAAAATGGCTTGAGGGTGGGAGGAAAAGCCTGGCAGAAAGAGAATTAAGCGACTCAGTATATTTAGCTTTTCAGAAAGACGGATGAGAGGGGGTTTGCTTGCAGCATATGTGTAGTGTCACAAAGAGAAAATGCCAGGCTCTGAAAGGCTCTTTAATCAAGCAGAAGGCAGAATAAAATGGTATGTCTGCAAGCTGAAGCCAGACACAGGGAGGTGGGATGCTCTTCTGAACGTGACGGTCAGGGACTCCTGAAACAGACCCAGAGAAGTGGGAGTCTTCAATGCTTGTCTTCAATTCAAGCCTACCTCCTTTCTTGGAAACTATGAGTGAACCAAACATAGTGTATTGGAATTACTGCAAGGAGATGAACTGCTGAGCAGGGTGCTGGCCAGGGGCTTGCACTCACACAGCCGCCTGCCAGGTGGGACCACGGGGTCACTTCATCTGAGGAAGATCCTTGGAAAGCTGGTCCAGTCAGGCAGAGCACGCGGGGAGGCAATCAGGCAGGCTCCAGGTGTTTACCTGCTCCCAAAATGGTAAGTGTGATCCTTTGCTGTTGAAAACATCTGGAGGGTGGCAGAATTTTTGAGCCAAGTTCAGATTGTTTTAACTTGTTTTGTGTGGGCCTGGTGCTGATGCTGTTTAACATATCTGTTCTTAGAGTAGCCAGAGCACCAGATATGTAAAGTGTTCTCCACAGCCTGATCACATTCAGAGTCTGCATATAAGAATAATACATAATGAGTGTGTGAGATGAAACAAGTTTGGTCAGAGAAATAAGACAAACTACAAGTGTCTTACAGCCCAGATTGCATTCCTTGAGCCTGTGCATCCACATAGGTAATCTCTGTTTAGCCATTACTGAAAGAGATCTTTGCTGTGGTATATAGTGGTATGTAATTAATCATAAAATATTGCATTAATTTGTATTGGGTTTGATTTGATGACATTTAATTTGGGGAGAAGGATTACAGTGTGAGTATTAGAATAGTAATTTTTATAGAGTAAAGAAACAAAATGAGATTAGAAGTCTCTATGAAGGAAGCTTGAAGGCTGATGTGTGTATTTGGCATCTGGTGCAAATAGTTACAGCCTAACTTAATTTACTGGAGGGAAAAGATGCTGCTCAGCATCTCATGCACATGAGGGGAATTTGCAGAGCAATTCTGGCATACCTCAGGTGGGCTCCTTTCAAAAGAAAGGCTCAAGGAAACTTTGCTTATGGTTATGCTGGTGTGTCCAAATTATGCTTAGTCCTACAGGAGTGTTTCTGCAGCAGTGATGCAGGAACACAGGGGTAGGACCCCTCACTGTCTGCTCCAAGCAGTGACCAGCCCTAACTGTTTTATGCTACCTGGTAATGCAGCCACCAGCTGTGCCCTCTGCCAGAGCCTTTTTTCTCCAGATCATGGCCAGTGCTGCTGCTCAGCTGGTTTACTGCAAGTGTGTTTTGTTGAGCAGGATGGGCTAGACCATTTGCCTGATCATTTGGTCAGTTTGGCTTTAAAAAGCTCCAGAGCATTCTGGAAAGCAGAGCAGCAATATGATAGGATTTAATCAGACTTAATTATTCCCCTGCTGTCTATCTCCTAGCAACATCCAGCTTGACATCTGCCTGCGAATGAAATGTGTAAGCTAAGTAGGAACATGTTCAGACTAAAGTCCTGCTACTTGAATCAAATCACGCCACTAATCATTGCCTTAATTCATCTCATGGCCATCAAACAGCTGCCAGGCACTGTTACCTGATTTTCCAAGATGCACAGCGCTCGCCTGCTGAGTTTTTTCCGGGCTGGCAAGAAGGGTGACTTCATCCCGGGCTCTTTGCAGCACACTGACACCTGATAACGGGGTTAGAGTTTCCTGAGTGACAAGCACGGGCTCAGGAGCAAGCCCCAGACTTGTCGCTATTTGGCTTTGTGCTGTAGGTCCCCGCTTATCTCATCACTGAAATCAGATCACCTGCTGTGCCCACACACCGCGGGGTTCAAATGCGGTACGGGGGCGGTTTAGGTGAAGCTTGGGGACAGCTGGAGCAGATGTGGCGCAGTGGCAGCAGGCAGTGCAGCAGCTCCGTGTCACAGGGACAAGGGCAGTTGAGGCAGGGAGATGACACCCAGCTTACGCAGATGGAGGGATGAAGAGGGGAAGAGAGGAGCAGGCATAAAGCAAGCGTTTGTAAAGTAAAACTGGGCTCCAGCCAGACATGATGTGGCACAGGAGTCAGTGGAGTTGCTGGAAGAAATGAGCTCGGTAGCAGAGCTGGGGCCATAGGAGGAGGCTGCCTGCACCAGCCCTGGCTGCCAGCTGGCTGTGAAGCTGGAGGGAAGGGAGCTGCCTCAGAGCAACGAGCATCCTGAGCAGGTCAGCCCTTTGAACTGGGGGTTGATGGGGCAGCTGCCTGGGGGCAGATCTGCAGATGGACAGGGCTGCATGAATGTGGTCGTGTCCCCTCTCCACATACCTCCTCAAGGTGATATTGGTACCAGTGATACTTAGGTGCTTGCATGAGTCTGTTGGTCTCCTGTGCTGTCTCTAGAAGTCGTTGTTGGCATCCAAAAAACCTAATGGTGTATCAGTGTGACATGTGTCTCCCTTGTGTCTCTGCAGCGTGGTAGCTCTGGAAGCCTGGCTGCGTGGGTGCCACACTAGCAACCAACCTGCACCGACTTCATATGTGCAGAGCACAAAGTGGGGTTTCTGGCTGTGAAAATGGGGCTGTATGGGCCCCCACCAGCTCCCCCTGTGACCAGCAGGAACTTGGCCTTTTGTCACCTGACTTTGTCAATAGTACTCAGCCAGCTCTGTGCTGTTCAAGGCAGTGTCTGCCATTCAACACTGCTAGCTGGGCTCACCTCAGTGGGAGCTGCCACCATGCTGGGCATGATCTTACTAAGATTCCCTTAAAATCACCTTATGTTTTTCTTCCGTTATCAGTGACAAATGGAGGGTCACTGGGCTGGTCACTAAAGATGCAAGTTTATTCCTCACCGTGTCTTTCCTTCCAGATGACTTTCCCCTTCACGACTAATAATTTCCCTTTGTCGTTCTATCCCTGAGAGGTGTTAGAGTTTGTCACTTGCCCTCTGCCTAAGGAGCATTAGAAGGCTGTGGGGCCAGCAAGAACGAGGCAATGCTGTGGGAAGATTGCGTTGCAGGCTGGTGCCAGTGCTGCTGTGCTCACAGGGCAGCTGTGCCGTGGGAAGGTGGAGGCTGTAACATACCGGGAAGCAGCACTGTCTGCGTGGCATGAGCTGTGCCGTGCAGTGTGCCTGGTGTGGTCCAGCTGGAGGCTGTGCCACACCGCAGAGGTGGCGCAGAGCTGGGCAGGGGCTGGACAGGACCTTGCTGGGTCTGCAGCGCTGGGAGGGTTTGCAGAAGCCAGCCGATAGTGCGAAGGCAGTGGCAGGACGGTGCAGCAGGGGCAGGTGCTGTGGGGGGCAGTGATGGAAGCAAACGCAGGCCTGCGTTGCCGTGTCGCGGCTGGAGCTTGGCTGTGCAGAGCGGGGCAGGGCTGGGAGCCAGTGCTCGGTCGGGCGGCGCAGCACCTGAAGGGAGGCGCAGCGCCCTCAGCGCGGTGCCCGGAGGGCGGGCGATGCCGTGTCACTGCAGGGCGCAGCGGCCGGCAGCAGCTGAGGCGCCTCAGCTGGCGGAAGGTGCAGCGCTGTGGGGTGACAACGCGGAGCCTCACAGCGGGGTACAGTGCTAGCAGGGACCACCCAGTGCCATGCCTGGCGGCACCGCAGTGCTCTGGCGGCGTGACGGGGGAGCGGCGGCGGGGTTTGGAGGAGGAGCGCTGCCCGGCAGCGGCCGTGAGGGGGGAGCGGGCCCGGGCCGTTTAACGCGGCGCCACGGCCACGCGCTGATTCTGGAGGGGGGAAAGGCGGCGCTCTGCGCACGCGCACCGCCGCCCTGCCGCAGCGCTCCTCCGGCGGGGACCCCCTGCCCGCGCGCCATTGGCTGCGGGCGCCTCCCGCGATTGGCCGGCGCGAGACCCCCCG